TCACGAGTCTTCAACCAGCTTGCATGCAGGCTGCTCAGAACACTTGTGCGCAGCCAATGAAGTGCGCAGCACAATGGCGGCCATCACTGGCTCAAAGCCTGCATCAGCAGGTGGGAACACGGTGAAGGGCGTAAGGATTGCCGGAACCTGGGAGGAGGTTGACATCGATGAGAGTGACCCCATTTGGACGGAGGGCACGAGCTGTCCTATCCCACAGAAGTTGGGGTTGCCCCTTGTTGTCAGGCGAGACCCTGGGTCGCTAGGGACAGCCCCTGCTGGTTTGGAAAACCAGCCAGTAACCTACTTTATGATTCACCCCAGGTCAGGACTTGCGCCCCCTGAGTGGCAACTGAATCCTGGGCCTGCAATTGTTGCTCGTAAGGATAAGAAGCCGCTGCTTCTGAACCAGCTGGACATAGTCTATGAGTACATGTGCGACTTGATTGATGAAGTTGAAGACACGGGGACTGTCCCCCCCGAGCGCATGAGCAAGGCAGCGTTTCGGGACTACTGGGATGAGATGGTTGAGGAGAAGAAGATGAGTCAGCAGATGGACGACGAGGACGAAGAGGAGAAGCCTGGCGGAATGGCCAGTCCCACCAGTGTGGTGGATTGGGATGCCGTCCCTCGTCCTTTTTAGTCAGGTAAGAATCAGTATCAAGGTAGCAAGCTTCTTGGAGTCCTATGTACTTCTCAATCCGCAAGGTTGCCCCTCTTCTGGCCTGTATGCAATCTGCAACATCGATGATGCTAGGATCACAATTGTCGGAGGTAATTAGACATCTCTTTGAAAACTTCTTTCCTTGGCTCGCTCCCACATCCTGACACAGACTTGTAAGAAGTGCTCTTCTAGGTTGAGCAAAGTGAAAAGAAAACGCATAAGACCTTTGGTTTTATTGAGCCTGCATGAGACTCGAATTCTCTCCAAAGAGATTATAGAATGGGTAATGTTCTGCTGGGAGTAACTGTAACCCTGTTGCATCTTTTCAATGCAGATACAAGTACAAGCTTTGAGGTTGGGGTCCCTTTTTGTAGCTTTGTGTTTGCGCGGCTGTACTTATGTTTCAATATGATTGGTAGGCTGTGATACATGCGTAGTTGCTCCGCAGGTCTGTGTGTCTGAGTAATATAGTGGTTGGTGATCAACGTTTGTGGACCAGCCCGCATAGGAAAGGTTTGTCTCCAAAACATCGACTTGAGTGGCTTGAACGCAGGCGTTAGAGCTAGTACGGTTGAAGAGTATTAGGTGCTTGCATGAGGACACGAAGTAGGGAACTCATGAGTCAACGGCTCATCTAGGGAACTCATGAGTCAACGGCTCATCTATATATATAGGTAACCTACTTGCTCGTTCTGAGCTATAGAGCATGACTATAGTTAAACGGTCGATAGAGATCAGTCAAAACATCCGCTGAAAGGAGGTATTGTTAGAAAGAGCCGCCGCGGTTGCAGGTAGTTCCAAGGAGTTGTCCTTTGAGGTTGTATAAATGTTGTGTAATATAGTAGTCTTCTATGAACCCATCTATAAAGTGTCGGCCTACAGCTTTTTGAAATCACAGAGACATTTCCAGGTCTAAAACTTGGACAGGGATTACTACCTGTCTGTAAAACTCAGAACCAAGATGTGCGCACTTCTAGCCGCGCATGGTCCATGGAGGCGTTCAAATGATTGATTGGGTCACGGATTGGATCACGGATATAGTAGTGACCGCGACACATGTACTAAGAACCATGGTAAATCTGCACCACGAGTTTTTTCAGGGAGTCGCAGATGGGGCACATGATGCATGCAAAACTTGAAAGTACTAAGGCTGTTGGACGCTTTTGTTGTATACATCCGATCGATCAGTCGCATAACATCATGTTTTGATATCCTGATTAATTGTTGAAACGTATTCTTCAGTGCATCAGATCGATGCAGCAGGAATGACTGACATGCACATGCCATCTGGACGCGCCCTAGCTGACACGGCCATGCATGAGTCATGCAGTTTGAATATGCGCCGGCCAATCTTATTAGCGACTGGCGCTAGCTTAACAGTACCGGACGCTACCTATTTTAGAATGTACGTTACCAGACGTTCTAGAGCATGACGGTGTAACTAAAATATGTCACTAGAGCTAGGCGGCCTATCAGACTAGCTACATAAGCCGTCACTAGCAGTAGCCGCAAAGCATCTAGCAACAGATGGTGCCATGTGTAGTGCCACTGCATGAGAGTTACTACTCGGCGGCGGCATGTTCAATCAATGCCGCAGTGCCGCAGAATCGTCGGAAACGCTGCATGCTCATCATACTCTTTCCAAATGTCTTGCATGCCGCCATGTGGCCGCCGGTTAAGCTTGAACCATGGTCGTTAGATTCCATTGTGCACCACAACACAGGGTGCTCAGCACGGAGGTGCATCCTTACTTGCTATGAGCATGAGGCGGCCGCAATGAGTGGAATAATCGTTCGCGCAGCCAGTGAGCTAGATTTCACTATGGAAACAGTAAATCCGAGGTTATAGAGAATCAAGGACAGACGCCAGTCTGGACGGGACCCACGTTCGTGCATCCCATTCAAGCCACATCCCCAAAAACGTTACCATCATCAGCAGATTCACCAGCGCGACTCTCCAACCGTACCCGACGTATGCAAAGCCCCAGATTGCGGAACGAGCGGGTGCATTCGCGCGCTCTTTCGCGTCTACGAGGAATCCCACGAGTAGGACGGCAGCTGTGGCAAAGTTCGGAACCCAGAGTCGCCACTCTTCCCCTTGAATCATGGCGCACGCGGCTGTGAAGAGGGCGACCATCCAGAGGAGTGCGGAAGCCGCGATGTAGACCAGCAGAAGAAACCACAGGACTGGACGGAAAGAGGACGGACCAATTTGTAACAGAACCGTCCGTGCATCTGCTGAACGGCTCTGAAAGGCAAGAACCGCTTAGCGGTGAGTCAGACGGACGCCTTGCTCACTTTGCGTGCCCATCAAAGTCGAAACCTGATTGCAAACGCATACAAGGAGACTTGCGGACGACTGCTGTGAAGCAGTACCGCACCGAGCTGTCGCTGGAGATTCTTCGCGAAGAATGTGCTTCAAGAGCCTTTTCTACACACGGCTTCGTGCTTTTCGACAGCGCGTGAAAGCTGAAGTAGCCGCGCGAAACAAATCCAGAGAATTCTATTCAGGAAAGCGTCAGGCTCCGAATCACGGCCTCTGTTCAGAAGACCCGCTCACCATGTTCCAACGCGCCCCATAGCCGTGACGTCAGTTGCTGCGCCCGTTTCTCCTCCCTGTCAAACAGGCTCTCCCCCAGGCTGCCACGTGTACTCGCCAACGTGGTCAGGCTTTTCGACAACCCCGCCTCGCTAGGGTCCCCTTCTGCGCCTTTTGTCTGTAAAAAGCGAGCAGATGGTCATTAGGGAAGCTGCCAAGCTCAATATCAGTCTCGTCGACCACAACGGAGAAGTCACGACCGTTCAGTATCATGCTCGAGGTGTCCTGAAACCAGGACTCGCTGCCGGCTGTGCTCGTTGCAGAATGGCAGTACCTTTAAACACGAAGTAAGGAGGAGAAACCTTGAAGAATTGGAAAATTTGACCAGCCTTTAGAGATCCCACGAGGTTGTCACTGCTGTACCCTCTCATTTTCTGGCAGTGATTGAAAGCCTGCAGATGTTAGTTTGGCGGGCAACTCCAAACTTTTTCTCCATCACTTATGACCCCAAACACGTGGCATCCTCACCGTTGGCCACTTGGCAATCGCGCACAGGTTGGCGTAGCACTCGTCCGCTAGCGGCCAGATGTCGGTCCCCGGGGAATAGTTGACGACCGGTTCGTCGGGAGTGCTGCTCGCCGTCTCTAGTTGCAGTTCGAGCCACTGGCCCCGGTCGGTGTAACCCTCACGGGCGGAATGGAGGTGGACCTCGAAGTGCCGGGGTGGCCACTTCTGGTCTGCGCAACGATGATTATGTCAGCATACGTCAGCTCAGGGTCCTTGTGTTGAGTGAATGACTTGGAGCCTGGAACGTGTCGAGGCTTCACGACCCATTTTCGCGGCCTGCAACGGAAGAAATGAATTCGGGGTGTCGGGCCGGGCTTCTTTATTCCATGCAGGACTTTATTGCATAATGTGCTTCAAGTTGCCGAGGTTTCGGATATCGAAACCAATCAGTTTTATCGTGCTTCGAGTTGTTAGCCAGCGGAGTCCACTTCGTACGCAAAGAAAGGAGTCTCGATTCGTGAAAAACAAGGTGTATGAAAAATAAGGTCAAGCCCAGGGGACGGGTGGGGTTCGTTGGATGATCAGGAGTGCGTCTGGGTGCGGAGCGCGTGAATAATGCTTAGAATTTTTACTTTGCTTTTGCCCGGTAGAAAGACCTTCCTATTCATAGAGCTTATCTTTCGAAGACGAAATCTATCTCAAATATGCGATGTTTCGTCTGCTATGATGTGTACAAGGGTACAGACTTGAGCAAGTTGACGGCTCACCGGCAAAGGATGTCTGTGCCCAAGTCCCGTCCTTCACAGTGTGTGCGTCCACCTCAACGATGGTGAAGGAGGCGTGCAGGTCACTGTTACGAGACACAACGGGTTCAAGGATGGCGCACAGTCGAAGCTTAGAGCGAGTACTTCTGGTTTTTCCTTTCGAATTGATGAGGTCTTCGAAACAAGTAAAGGCAGGAAGAACTCAACATTTTGGTCTTCCTGCCTCAACTTCTCTCGAAGATCTCATCTAGTCGAAGGTGAAGTGATGATCTCCAGATTCTACTTGAAGCTTGGAAGAAAACTCGTTCAGCGAAGAGCCTAGGAATCAAGCCCCAGGGATGCACCTTAACGCTGGCGTCTATTCAGAGACGGGCACTGACGCCTTTTAAAAGAGACAAAGAAAAGGAGGTCAGTGCAACACCGTTCGACTGGCTTGTCCATGCATGGCCTACGACCAGTTTAGTGAATCCAATCTGGTCAGTTTTGCAAGAAACTCCGAAGTTGGATTGCGAGGTAGAAAGTGGAAACCTGCCTGGGTAAGTGGCCCACCCAATGGAAGATGCTGGCACTGATGTAGTGGACCCCCGGCCAAAGGATAATGTTGCGAGTGGCTGCTACGTTTGCTGACACCCTGCAGGATCAAACGGGGGTGGGGTCAGTTGTTCGAGATCGTGTACCAGGCCCGCAAAGGATTACACAAACGGACAAGACTGGCGTCGTCAGACTGTGAACAGAAAAAGGTTCAGGGAAACTGCACGTCGTCACTTCAGTTGTTAAACACGGGTGTCCAAGACGGACCTATTGGCAGGCGCAAATGACTGGCAAGATGAGATGAGCAAGCATACTGTTTCTCTGACCAACGTGTGCGTCTTTTCGTGTCCGCATGATTACATCAAGCTGACGCGCTGTCATCAACGTCTTTAGATTGGAGCCCAACAGTTCAGACAGAAAGATTTTCCTGTCGAGAAGTCACTTCTCAGTCCGTCCTTTTCAATAGGCTCACCCTCAAGTATGCTTTCTATATCGACGACCTTGTGACATGAAGTGTCGAAACCATACTTTCCTCATCAAAGGCCCTGTATTGAACGAACTGATCTGAACCCATCATCAAGCACGAGACCGCAACGGATACAGCATGCCCGCCGATACCGCCAGCGACTTACCGGTCCAGCTCGACCAGCTTTTCGTCTTCCCCTTCATCCGGCGGCAGAGCAATGACTTGTGCCGCCTTCTCGTCAATCAGCCCCTTGGTGCTTCTCAGCTGGGGCGCCGCAGAAAAGAGCATCTTGCGCCCCTTGCTCTTTGTAAATTTCCACAGCTTGCCCTCAGGAACTACGACCTGGTCAAACTCCCAAAAGAAGGTTAGGACGGAGAACAAAAGATTGAACGCATGTCAATTTGTTCCATTCTCAGGTTGTTCTTAGAGCACAGCTTTTGAAGACGCTTTAGAAGGTGGTAGTTGTAGCTTGACCATGGCGCACTTTGAGAGCTTACCCGCGGTACTTTAGACTGCTTAGTGAACATTCTTTATTCGGAGAGGGTTGGCTTGAGAAAGTAACTGGAGTGAAGGGAGTCCGCTCGCAACAGTCAATCTGAACAAGCTAATGATCACGAGATCACGACATACAAAAGAGTGGTTTTAGGCCTTCCAAAGTACAGATGATGAAAAGGAAACATGGGTGGCCAACTTTTGGGATAAGGACCATCAATCAACTGATCCATCCTCAGCACAGCAGACCGGCACTTGATAACAGGGCCAAATTTGCAGGACTGCATAACAGGAGTATACAGCTGACACAAGATCCGCTCACCCTCAATGCAAACCGGTAGGCATACACATGCACCCAGTGCAGTAGGATGATGCTCCGCACTGCTGAGTAAACCAACCGCAGCACTGAGACTTCAAGCCTCTTATCCATTGTGGGCGCACTGCATGGCAAGCCACCATGGTTGTAATGTCTCCCCATTTTCAGTCCTTCAAAGATATTGACAGTAACCAACACTGCAACCAGGGTTGGTGCTCAGCTTGACAGTTCCAACTTAACATCGACTTGATGCCGATTCTTACAGGCTTAATCGGGGCAATCAGACTTTGAGACTCAGCAATGCACCTCAGCATTGCTGGGGTACTGATTCAAAAGAAGAACTTTCTGACCTCTGAGTACGCTTTTGGTTTAAAGCTTGGGTGTCCCCTTGTAAAGACGATCTTCACACCACCGGTTCATCGTATGAACAAGCCCCCCGACCGCCAGCCTTGTTCTGATCTCTGGCGTGTCACAATGCTGCCTGAAGAACTTTGCAGTGCAGATCAGTGCGCAGATCGAGGTCGCATCAAGCTTGGAGATGATGAACCACAGCAGCTCAGGCGAGATCGTTTCGAGAGTCACCACGTCCTCCATGCTCCATGCTCCCCGCCTCTGCCTCTGCAGCTCAGAAGCTGGGAACTTGGAAGTTTACTGTTTTAAGTTATTAATTTAAGCTGAAGTTTCAGACAGAAAGGTTTTGTTTCCTGCAGTATTCCGAAGGTTTCGTGCTCGGGCCCGGGGCATCCTCTTCAAGGAGCCGTCCAGACAACCGTCACTTTTTTGAAGGCTGTCGTAACCCTTCAATTTACTGCTCCGTTCGACCAAGTACATATGTTCGCGAAACGGTTCTCGTCACGCCAGACCCCGGGGCGAAGTATTCATATCAAGGAAATATCAAGGAAAGGAAATACCAAAGAAAAGTTGCATTCCGCATCAGCTTCGTGCACAGCAGGAACTGGATTCTGCTGCAATGACACAACTCCTGCTCCCTGCAAGGATCTTACGAGAGTTTTTCGTCATGGCGGCAACTACGGATGGAAGCAGCGTTGCTCCAGCAAGTGCACCAGACTGGGAAAAGTGGCTTCCCTTCTGCAAGCAGCTGCCCAAGGTGGAGCTGCACGCGCATCTGAATGGATCCATCCGAGACGCCACCATCAGGTTTAGCAGCCTCATCCTTCTTCCAGGCTGACAATGCTGTAACTTTGGGACCACTCCTTTATAAAGAAACTGCTGTAATTTTCTGCTGCAGAGAAGCTGAATGGGCAGCCGATTGTAAGGGATCTAATCCAGTGATCGCTCTCTGAAGCGAGCCTCTGGATCATCGTTGAATGTCTATATGCTAGTTGTCAAGCTGGCAAACCACCAAGGAAATCGACCTTTAGGTTGGTCAAATGTAAGGTCCCGCAAGAGGGCCAGAAGCAAGACCAGCCATTGTTGATTTCTAGATTCTACTCAATTTACTGTATCCGAACTTATCTCTTCTCTGATGTGATGTAGGGAGCTGGCAGACAAGCGAGGCCCTAAGGGGCTTCTTGCGGAGGACGCCCACACGCTGACCAGCAAAGGTGAACAGTTTCAAGACCGCATCTAGAAGAAAGTCATCTACATTCACACAAATCAGCTCCTTCTCTTCATTAAGAGGACTGAGAGTAACGTTGCAAAATTTTTTACCCAAACCTGCTGATCTCCCAATAGAAGGAAGAACCGTGAATCCTGCTTCCAACTTCGGGCCATGAGCAAACAATCGCTGGGTCCTATGCTCGTTGGGGTGGTCATGGTTTGTGCCTTGAACCAACCAGATACTATTGGGTCAACGGCTGGCAGATACAAACAAAGCTATCAAACAACAGACGTACGAACGCTTTTCTAAACCAAGCTAACATTGCCAACAGAGGAACATTCGTCACTCAGGAGAAGCTTGAAAGAGTGTTTTGGAGGAAGAGTTAGTGGACAGAATTAACTCATTTTTGCAGGTGACCGCAGTCTTGCGGACTGCTTCAAGCTCTTTGACGTCATCCATCAGCTAACCACTGAGCATGACACCATCACGCGCATCACACGGGAGGTAAGCTGCTGACCTTGTTCGTGCCTCATCCGTTGTGCTGAACGCCAAGTTTAGGATCCGATTCCAGAAGCCCTTCACGTCTTCGCTATATGAGGATGGCAATGAAGCTCCTTCCAGTCCCTTCCAGGATTGTTGGTTGTCGCTTTGACTGTACGGTTGGTTGAACAAAGTCCAATGGCTTGTAAGCAGGGGCGTTTGAAAAAATGCGAATACCTTCTCTGCTGGTAGCTCTTACTTGCCGAAAGCGGACAGCATATTTTCGGGTGGGTTCCCTGACACAGGAATGGGACATAAACACAGCAGTAAAGCTGAGTCTAATCCTTCCCTGTTCCATGGACAGGTTGTTGCGGACTTTGCAGCTGACAGCGTCGTCTACCTCGAGTTGAGAACCACACCAAAGGTCAGCTTTCCCTGTTAATTTTCAAGTAGATATCAGCAATCTTGACACTCTAAGCAAAGAACAGCTTACAAACTTTTGCAAAGTTCTAGTTTCACCCTTCAGAGAAAAGATCGGGGACATCGGAGACGAGTATTGATATCGTCCCGTCAACGATTGTGCCTGGTCGTTCATGAAGGATAGCTCGTTGGGTCGTTCGCAAAATGAATGCTCGTATCCGGTTTGGACCCTGCTTACAAGTCCGGCCCGTAGAGCAGTCAAGCCAAGGAGGCTTGGCAACCTCAGAACTGAATGCTGGACTGGTCACGGGCTTTCTGAGCCTACGATTTTTACCTCCAAATTTATTTGAAACTTCTGCCCACTGACCAAACTTGCTGGTCCCTCTCGTTGATTATCATGGAAGCACGTACAAGAACGCAAAGCTGTCTTTCACAGCCCTTTCCAACGAAGTTCGTCCCGGTTGTAGGACTTTTCCTTTCAGCGGAGAGCGTGAGGATTGTCTAGCAGGTCTTGTTAAAAAAAGACAACAAGGAAAATACTATAGGGTCCCGAACAGCGCGTCATCTCACGTCAGTTTCCGCGTGTTTGCAGCACAGGCCGGAAGTTGGCATGACAAAACAGTCTTATGTTGAAGCGGTGCTCGCGGGATTGATGGACGCTAAGATTGCGACGAACGACGATCCTCCACAGCCCCCATCCTCGCAAAAAGCGGAGATGTTGGAAGGTGAGGAAAGCTGTCTCAACCCCGCATCCTCTCCAATCTGGGCGGTTCGCATCATAACGGCCTATTCAACTCGGAGCACGAAGTGACCAGTCCTGACTGTGGTTTTGGCAGAGCTCGAACTCTGCAAGGCTTGTTGTGAGTGTCCGATAAAGGAAAAGTGCCATTGCGATGAAAATGAATCATTGCGCAATTCGAGGTTCGGACGTGCTCCTAAGGGTCAATGCTCTCTAACCTGAGTTTGTTTTCTTAACCAAGCACTCAACCTTGTGCCAGTCGACACTCTCTTTGGCAGGTTGACTCGTTCAAGTCGGTGATAATCTGGTTTGGGGTCGTTTTTCAGATACTCGAGAAGCGACCAGTCGAAGTAACGGAGCGAAGGCAGCTACTTTTGATGAGCGGCGCACAGGCATCATAGTGGGCTTGATCCTGAGCATCGACCGGAGAGAAAGCGGGGAGGCAGCTCTCGAAACGGTGAACTTCCTTGCACGGTGTCGGTGTCCAAATTCTTAAGAAGTTGTTATCGGCTGGCTGGAACAAGACGTGTGTTCCCTCGTTGTTTCGTCGAGACAATTGACCACGATTTGAAACTCGTTGTAGCCTCTGAAACGAAACGTCAACGCCGGTTTGTCTCCTGCCTGCATTCCAAAAGCGTTCTGAAAGCTTTAGATTGAGGCCATATTACGACCAGAGATGTGCAAAGAGGAAGCTGAGAAATAGTAGGTGTGAGTCCATTATGACTTAACAGCCCAGTGCCCTGTCCATATCTTTGGCACGAGTCCGTGCATCGCTTTTCCCTTCTTCAAAAGCAACAGGGATGAGCGGGTACGTTGGACGCCGTCGAAACACCCGTCTGTTTGCGAGCGTGCTTGCCGCGTTCTCATATAGCCTCAAGTGACATGGCAAAGCACAAAAAGGACTTTAAAAACTGTGGAAGAAACAAGTGGCAAAGAGGGTGGGAATGAAAGCCGTCGTCAAAACGAGTGCTGAGAGGTGCATTCCTTCAGCGCAGGTCCAACTCGCACATTCTTTGCGACATCGGGGAGTCGTGGGGATCGATCTCTCTGGGAATCCGACAGTCGGAAGCTGGTAAGTCGCGGTATCGCAGGCATGCATTCCGTTGGATCACCTTTCAGCTGGATCAGAAGGGGTTATGCCTAAAGCCGTGTGAAGGATCGGCACGAAGCACATTCCCTTGATAGCTTCTGCTTCGGCCGATGTCACGGGCGATCAGACCGTCAGTGTGGTGAACAGAATGCGACAGGCTTCCGTTCCAGTAGAATATGGGCGCATCGGACTTCAGCGAGGAGTGACTCGCAGATTGACGCTAAGGTTGGACTATAGCCCCGCAAATGTTAAACGCTTTTATATGCACTCCTTTTCTTCAGTTGGAAAGACCAACCTGCTTCCAACCCCTCAAACCCAGACTGTCTGAACCGAGTTTCGAGTTGGCACGAGACTCAACTCGCGAAACCAACCTCTTAAACCCTGTGCCTTAACCTTCTTCGTCGCCCGCAGATGCTGGAAGTTCTGGACCCTATCTGCAACAAGCCAGCCAAGTGCAGCACAGGAGTCCAAGTGTGTGCCAGATTTTTTGACACGTCCGCAAATAACCACATAACCACCTTGCTTGTGCGGCCATGCCCCTAACCAGACTGTAAACCGTCTCGATAATCCGATTGCGCAGGGCTACGTTTTTGCCGGCGCTCCAGTGGGCTAGGGCGTACGGGTTGCCCCTCACCTTGCACTGCGGAGAGGTAAGGTTTCTCTCAGGTTCTATGAAGGTGGAATCAGGGCTTTATCGCCCTGGGCGCGTCGAAGAAATTGGCGGTGCATCTCGTCCTGCGTGTTCGCGGGCCCGAGAGGATCTGCCAACGTCATCGTCTTGTCAGCTTGACCTGTAGGCGGGGCCAGAAACAAGTAGTCTGTCCGAGCACTGGTTGATCACCTGCTGATACCTGCTTAGCTCGGACCCCTTATTTCCGCACCCAAGAAGTTGTTCTCAATTGAGTGTTCGAAAGCTACCACAAAGGCGGTGAGTGTGATATATCGTCGACTCTCGTGCAACTCGCACCTAATGAGTTACCGACCGTCCGTGCAACACCTGGGATGTGATCTCAAGGGGCCCGAGTAGCACGTAAGTTGTCCAAGAAATTTCTGTTGGCCTCCCAGAGCTTGGTAGAAAACCTGACCGGTTGTCCCTGCACGATATGTTAGTATGAGGCGTTAGCAGATGGGAAAAGCTCAGCTTACTTGTTGTGTTTATCGCTTGTGGAACGTCGACCTCGAAACTTCGTGCGACATCTTCGTGTCTCTGTAAGGCAGCGGGTATAACAAGTCGTCATTTGCTCTTTTCTTTGAGTTTATTGGATTATATAATTGCTGCCGTCGAATATTCGAGTAGAAGGTGTCAGCCAGAAAGACAACCGTCTAGATGACGTCGGCGCTGACGTCAGGGTCGCTTGCCTCAGGTGCCGAACGCGGAGGAAGTGCGGGCGATGCTGGCGTTCCGGCCGGAGAGAGTGGGCCACGTTTGCTGCTTGGCGGAGCCGGAATGGCAGCAACTGCTAGACGCGAAAATCCCGGTAAGCTTCCAAATCTGGTAGTCTTTCATACTTTTGGTGGATTTTCTGCTAACGTTCCTTTCGAATTGTCTCCTTGCAAACTCTGAGAAGAACACGATTGTCACTTATTTAGAACAAAGCTCTGGCTGCGACTGTTTAGGGGGTCGTTTACAGGTTCGACGGGTTTCGTCTCGTTTCGAGAGCTTTTGTACTTGAGTGGGGCATGCGATGTGCTATTTATGAGGCGTAGATTGCCATAGGATTGAAGTTGACAACCACAGCCGGGATGCCCGATATGCGGGAGCTTCTCAGCTGCCAACGACTGCTTTTCGTTGCAATTGCAAACCTCATTGTTTCTCTTCGGAACGCCATTATGGTGGCGTCCTCAAGATACGGCCGCTCGTTGTGAATCTGCGCTCAATGTGAGAAGCATCAGAACGAATTAACCAGCCGTCGTGTCGTTTCAAACATACCAGCCTGCGTTTCCGAGCAAGTCGAGAGGTTCGTATCCAAGAGTGACGGAAGATCGACCCTTCAGCTGAAATTATGGCCCCTCCGCGAATCTGGGGGCACCGCTCAGATTCTTTGTGTTATATCAGGTGGAGGCTTGCCTGACGTCCAACATCAAAACGGAGAGCATCAGCAGCTTCGCAGCGCATCACTTTGGTAAGGAGACGACTACTGTAGACGCTTCCTTCGCTCCTATACCTTCCCTCTGAACTTCCTGCTAGAACGCGACCAGATATGGAATCTCTTGTCAACCCCAGAGTCAACTTCTACCGGTAGATTTCTTAGAGGCCATTACAAACGCCCTTTGAACTGGCGTATTGCTTGTGAAAATCTTGAACGTTTGTGTTCGTCTTTCACTACCACGGCTGAACCAAGTCGCAAAGACACTCCGACTTGAGGTGTAGGACTTTGAGAAGATCGTACCCGGTATAACCTTTGCCCTGATCAAACCATCTTGTGTCCCCCTGCCTTTCCAGCGCTCTTGTACAAGGACGATCACCCGGTCGCTATCTGCACGGACGACTCCGGTGTATTTTCCACGTCCCTCTCGCAAGAGTACGCAATCGTTGCTGCGTCTTTCGGTGAGCGGGTCTTGCTTGCATCTTCTCTGTTCCTCGCTCTTTCCTGTCGTGATGATATACTGTACATGTCTCTCCGCCTCACGGCGAGGATCCATGGACAAACGGCTTTGACACGATTTTCTGCAGGAAAAATGACGATCTGAAATATTGCCTCGATCAGTCAGGTACTACATACATATACTGGAGCTCGCCGACTTCCATCTAAATGCTAATATCCTCTGGTGTGCAAAAAGGGGCGTCTTAAACGCTTGCGGGCAAGGTCGTGGCCTCGTCAAGATTGTTTCGAGCCGTTGATTCTCGGAGCTCTTTACGCATGCGCTTGATTGCCGCTGATGTGCGCGTGGAAATTTTTGCAGGTCTTACTGCGGACCACGTCTTCTCAGTCGCAAGGCATAGCGTTGAGTACATATTTGCTTCGGAGAGTGTCAAGCAGAAACTTAGAAGGACTTTTGTGCGCGGTCAGACCCACAAACAATAAGACCTCAGTCCGCGATCTCTCAGTGTCCAGCTTGCATCCGTCGATGAACTATAATTGATGTAAGAAGTTGGTCAACATGTCAGCCGCAGTTGACAGGGCATGGATCCGACACGCATGCATATCTTGAAGGATGTGCAGACCGACCTTGGTCAGATCTGCTCATAAGATCTGGCCTGTATCCAAATAAGTGCATATATGTTGGCACACACTTGAAGTGGTTGTTCTTGGACCCCGTTGTTCTACAGAACGACGCTATGCACGCCACAAACTGGACGTGACTGCATTCGAATGTGCTGGCTGCACTGCCGACCGTACATCTGTGCACCTCAAGTTAATGTTCCATGTCATCTCAACATCTTTGAATTTACAAATACAACTTACGATCTCGAGCCGGCCTTACTTTGGCAAGTCAGTGCGGCCAGCCACAAAATCATGACCTTATTTTGCTCTAAGTGCTTAGCCGCTGCTGAGCACGATCCGACGCAGCAGGGAGTATTGCGCCGGGCGGGCCGCGCATCACATGTATACAAACGGTCGAGGCGGCCGCGCGTGCGATCGCGTCGGATCATCGGTTGCGCGTGACTGGCCGTGCACACTAACACCTTGAATATATCAGAATTGTACCTGCCCGATACAACCAGAATTGATCAGACCGCTGAATCGGACATGTTCAGTGACCGTCAGGACTGCAATTATCATGATGCACAATCCCAATCCGGGATGGCAGCTATAGCAAGCTTCACTGAGCATGCGAAGCGATCGAATGATTGATAACTTGAGCTCGGCGGGTGACTCGTATGTGATGCTGAACTTTCCTATAATTTGGATGGTTGCATAACCAGAATGCAAAACAATGAGACAATTGGGCACTATACGTACTCGCATTTACTTCACGCGCTTTCCCAACGGCGTTGAACGAGTTGACGGTGATGTGCAATTCAATCAATCAGCTAAGAAACAAATTAAGCGCGCGTACATGCAGATGCGTCAAACAGCTTAGGGAGACAGTAGAACTGGCTACCGCACTGAGCACGTTTCTTGTAACATGATTGTAATATGAACGTGCTCCCGCTATCTATTCCACTTTTTACCTTATGTGCACCTTCTGGCTGACTCTCACTGTAGAAGCATCGAAAATTCAAAAAATCAAGCGCTTCAGAAATTGGCTGGGGGGCCTTTCAACTTTCTTAAAAGCACTTGACGTCCAAGTCCAGGGTAGGAAACATTTTCTGCAGGTCGAGAAAGGTCCTCAAGGCAGCCGTCCACTGTGACCGGGGACATCTAAACGGACTGTAAAGTGAGATGCCATTAAAGAGGTCCCCCCTGATCCTTATCTTTGTGAGGCTGGGGCAGCTCGTCACCACATACGCAATCTGCTCTTTCGCTTGCTCCTCGAAGGACGTAAAGTCTCCAAACATGTCTCCGATGATATCCCAAGAGCATAAATCTGGAAGACTTGGTTGTGGTTGCAGGATGTTGTGAGGGAGAGGACGCGCGAGGACGCTAGGGCCGGTTTCCAGGGTCTCCGAGCGCCGGTTAGACAGCTGCAACCTCCTCATGAGCACATCAAGCCGTGTGAAATCCCCCTCCTTCTCCCTGATAACTCCGAAGTCTTCGACCAGGCGTAGCGAGCATAGACTGGGAGCTGCTTGGAGGAAGAGACTGCTTTCCTTCCAGCAGAGATTCTCGAGGTCTAGGATGGCAAGAAGGGGCAGGTCACACTGGACGTCAACCTGCGTATCTTCGGGTTCGATCCACGTGTCGGTGTCTCGAAACACGGTTACACTTCGAAGATGCGGCCCTCGTTCGATGATGAAGAAAGCGCTCTGTGAAACGTCCAGCACCAGTTCTTCTAGCTCTTCCAGGGCGATGCTTGTAATACTTTCATCTTCAGAACCTAGGTCTAATGATATGGCCAGATGCAAGACATTAAGCCCTGGGCAGCCAGCAAGGACTGCTTTCAAAAATGCTGCTGACAGGTCCAGGCTCCTCAAATTCAGATCCCGAAGACTTGGGATCGATACTGAGAAAGACTTTTTAGGAGTCTCCAAGTACTTCTGGTCAGCTTCGAGCTCCAACTCATGTAGAGATCCACAATATGACAAAGCTTGGACTAGACTCTGGACATCCTGCGGTGCGAAGTCTAAGTACTCTAATATCTGCAAAGAACTTTCAGCCATCCACACATATTGAGTGACAAGTCTTAGCAGCTGATCGCTTGTTTGAGATGTAAGGCTTGTCCGTGAAGAATCCTTAAGGTGACATTGATCGCAGCGAAACGTTCCGAACTGGAATGCTAGCTGTTGAAGCGAAGTGAAATTAAGTTCCTGGCAGCTTGTCTTTAGACTTTGGACCATACCGCTGCCGGGGCAACACTCACACATCCGGTTCTGATGATAAGACAGCTTACTCCGCGGCACGCGCTTCTGAAGAATCTGCTCACTGTCCTCAGCCTGATGAGATCTTTGAGGCTCAGACCTCGTGAAAGAATTTCCTGCATGAGATCAAGAGGAAGCCTCTCGATGGCTGCTGATTGTCGAAAAGGATTTCGGCCATCTGCTCTTCGAAGCATCCCCCCTTGAGTCAGCACCAAATGAGCTGCAGCTTTGACCATTGAACTGTTGGAAATCAGCTCTGTGATTCAAGCTGGCAAGGTCTGTTCAACAAGCGGCTCAGAAACTCGGTGCTTATGCAAAAGGTCACGCCTTCGACACTACCGGCCTGCAGAAGATAGTACACCTAGGTAAGATTATGCGTGCTCTACTTCAGAAGGTCGCGAGCCGTCCCTGCTGCAAAACGAAGAATCTCGATTCTGCCAATCCTGGCCATCAATGTTTCGAAGTTGAAACGAAGAAAAGCTCGATTCTTGAAGCCGGGACGTTCGCGCTGCCAGGCCGCGGCGGCCTGACGAGGCCGCCGCGCAGCTCATGGGCCGCGCAGTTCCGACAAATTTGGGCGTATTCACAGTATTGATGTTTGCGAATATTAAGTTGCCAGTTATATGTACTGGCAAGTGAGCTGCCCAGCCATGTGAATTACCTACCACCAATCTACCAACACACCTTGTCCTTGCACCCACTTGCACCGTTTCTGCTGCAGTGCTGGGCCGGGAGTGAGTCGAACGGCGTCGCCATGAATGCTTGCGTAAGGGCGCCAGCGTTGTTACAATCTCAGCAAATTGCTTGCGTGCTCAAGAAGGCCTGCAGTGCTCGGGCCATGCGGTCCAGCAGATCTCTGCAATCAAGGGCAGCAGGCGCAGCCAGCCTGTTGCATTCTCCACTTCCTAGTCATCACCCTCAGTTGAGCCACGAAAAAGTTACACGTATTGCCACGTGTGCAGCCCCAGCCTCCTCTCACCCAGCTCCAAGAAGATACAGCAGTGGTGCAAGTTGGTTACACTTACGGCCGTTTGGTCACCAGGCTGCTTCAGCGTCCCCCTCCTCTATTAACAGGTTGGAAAGCTGGCAGCAATCGTGGCTAAGAAAGGGTTTCTTGGGAGTTGGCTTGGCAGCAGCAGGAGCGGCCGCTTTAATTGCTGGTGCACTGAAAGCAGATGCAGCTGAATGTGAACCAGCAAATCAAGCAGGTACTACTTCATACTTTCAATGCTTTTGTTGAAACACGGTGGTGGAGCTCAGATGAAAAGCAACGTGAGCTATCAGGCTGAGTAATTGGGCCCCCCACATTGACTCTGCAATCTCCCCCAAAAGGCAATCCCCTCTCCTTCTTGATGAGCAAATGAACAGAGGAGGGGACTACTCATTAAAATAGCAGACTCAACGGGGGATCTTATGACCAGAGGAACTATGGACACAACGCGCCAGGATAGCTTCAGCAAGACAGCTTCAGGTCCAGTGGATTTGTGGTGGAGTTCTACAGCTTGACTTCCACTCCATTCTGTAACTCTCTGGTCGCTGCTTCTTCAGAGCCTCAGGCAGAGGGAGGAGAGCGCCGGCAGCTGTACCCCCCTACTGAGCCCCACACATCTGGCTACCTCCAAGTGTCTGACCTTCACAAGATATATTGGGAAGAGTGCGGAAATCCCGATGGACAGGTGAGAGCTCCAGCCTTGACTTATCTTGAGCTGCTGGTGAAGGAGCCTGGCAGGTCTGTATGTTCTTTAAAGAAGGGCCCAACAACCTTGTTAGTATCCATGAATTGCTCATGAGCCATGCCTGTCACATCCACTAGTACGCATGATTGTCCTTCTGGCCTAGACAATCGATCAGTATTGTGCCCTCTGTAAACCGCGTGTGACCAATCCTGTTCCTAGCGAAACGACGAACACCACTTCAAGAAAGGTCGAAGATAAAGTGGACTGATAAGCTGAGGACCCTGTTTCTTACACAGCCCGTAGTGTTCCTCCATGGGGGTCCCGGGGCCGGCACCGCTCCTGTCAACCGCCGCTTCTTCGATCCCGAGTTCTACCGCATCATCCTGGTCGATCAGCGTGGGGCAGGGAAGAGCATCCCGCACGCGTCCCTGGTAAGCTTGCTTTGAGAAACGCAGTTCTGCCTTATGCAATTATGGCTGGGATTGGGTTTTTGAAAACATTAAAGCCTATATCGGTCATTAGGCGGAGTGGCTAACCCTTTATCAACGAATGGGCGCAGAGTGATTGATGTCTCTGCCCCTTTCTCTTCAAATCTGATATGGAGTTATCGCAAGCTTCGTTCTGAAGCTGGATCAAGTGCACTAAGCACGTATTCCTTAGTTCGACCTCTCCTTAGCTTCCTCAAAAGTCTTTTACGCAGCTTTCGACATGGGGAAAGAGTGAAACGAGGATAAGGCGGAGGAGAAAGAAAGCTCTCGCATTTTGCTGCAGGTGGACAACACGACTTGGCATCTGGTCGAAGACCTCGAGAAGCTCAGAAAGATCCTTAAGTTTGACAAATGGCTGGTAAGCTCTGTCTTGAGATTATTTTGATGGTTGGCAGAGCAGTACTCCTAGTTGGACTGCACCTCTTTACTTCATCCGTACAATCGAAAACGGTCTACAATTGTTTGTTTGCTTGTGGAAGTACAAGTTACAATAAGTCCGACTCAGAACACATATTGTCCGTCCGACCGACATAAGGCCGTGAACAAGAAAAGGCCGCATACACACATCGAAAGGCCGTAGTTAGTGCGTAGTCAGGACGCGTTTTGTGGCTTGAGAGGTCCGCCTGATTGGTTTTCCGCAGTGCTGTAACAGAGTCCGAAGAGACTGCAAGGTGTTCTTCCCTGTTTTGGCGTTTGAACGCTGTGTCTGCCACCCGTACGCACAAGTGAAGCGGAGCTGCGGTGAGGTTCTTCCCACCAGGGTGATGCAATTTACCAGACGTTCCGGTCAATGGTTCAGGGCAAGCTTGGTAGTAAGGCTCACACTCGCGATGGTCATCACGCAGGTTTTTGGCGGTTCGTGGGGCAGCACCCTCTCTCTGGCGTATGCACAAACACACCCAGAACGGGTGAGCCCTAATCCTACTCATGCAGGGCTTGTCACTCCGTGCTTGCCCCAAGCCGAAGCCAAGTGTCTCGCCGACCTCGGGGTGTATCTTTATAGATCTTGGTCTTGATTGTGACTTAGTCATCCCTTCTTTTTAACTTTTCCGTTTACGGTTTTAGCGTTCAAGGCCGCTCTTCCACTTTTCCAAAAAGAGAAAAAGGACTGCTTTAAATGAAGTCTTGATCAACGTCTCGTTTTCTAAGAATGCCCGAAGTAAGAGGAAGGGTTAAGTCTGATCAAGTACTCTCCGACTATATTGAGCTTTTGAAAATCGCAAAGTCTTGGTCCTTTGCGGATGCGTCTGACCGTGCTTCTCCCCAATCAGGTAGTGGGACTGGTCCTCCGTGGCATCTTCATGATCCGAAAGCACGAAATCAATTGGTTCTACCAACGGGGCGCGGACCACATTTTTCCAGACGGTGAGCAAACGGCAGTAGTCGCAGCTGCGACGGAGGCCCATTTGGTGCAGTCAGGTAACGTTCAGTCGTGTGCATTGACACCCAACGCAAGTTCGTTCGTTGCTTTATATTGGAATGACTCTCCCAACTTTTCCATAGGGTGCCCGTGACACCGTTCAGCAACTCAACAAGCGGTATCCTTCGTCTCGCGTGTGCAAGTTCGGGGCGAAACGGGCTTCCCTCTGTCTACGGCTCCAAGTCCCCTTTCGTCAAGATTCACGCTTCCAACAAACGCGCTCTCTTGCATCTGCAGCCTGGGAGCCGTATCGGGACTTCATTCCGCCGGACGAGCGTTCCGGCCTGGTGGCGGCTTACCACCGGCGGCTTATGAACGACAAGGACCCGGAAACGCAGGTCAGGCTTATGCTAGCTTGAGTATGCCACGTGTTTCCAATCTGACTCATGCACCGCCCACTCTTCGATCCATTTCGAGTCCCTTCTGCTCTCGTCTTCTGAATTTCAAACCCTTGTCGATTTCTTTTCGCTCGAAACCCCTCCGCGTCAACTGTAAGTATGAGGTTACCCTTTCTTTTTTCCGCGGGAGGATGAGTGTTCTACGGAAGGGTGGGCTTTTCTAGTGGCCCAGAAGTAACGTCAGTTCCGCCTAGATCCTCGACGTCAATCATGGGGTTTGACGCGAGCGACCCGCAGACGACCGACTTGGCAGCATGTTGTCCATCGTAAATCATGACGTCAGCTGACGTCAGCGAGACGCGTTTCCTGACGCAACTGATCACAGTACATTCCGTTCGAGCGAAGGCAGCAAAGGCGGCCTGAATACTTTCATTTCCCCCGTTCGCAAACCGGCTCGCCTGTTTGTGCTAGATCCTTCGGTGCGCTCGGCGTTGCATTATCTGGCATCAACTTGACGTCACCCATTCTTACGTGTCGTGCAGATAGCGGCCGCTCGCGCATGGACCGCGTGGGAGATGTCCACGGCGTACTTGCGGCCGTCGCAAGAATCCAAAGAGAGGGGCGAAGACGACAAGTTTGCGTTGGTGAGCCCCGCTGGCTGCAAAAGCCGCTTTCTACATTCCTCTGGACTGCCTTTTCCATCTTTACGTTATCTCCGTGTTGCAAGTTCTCTGTTTGCTCTATGGCAGGTCTTCTTCTTCCTCGTCTCCTTCAGATTCCGTCCACAACGTTGAACTTCGTTTGCTCGCTTCGTGCGGCTAAGATCGAGCGCAGCAAAAGACGCATCAGCGCGTGCAAGTCCTCCGATGCGGGAACACGTTGAGGAGCAGTTCCATTTACGTCCCTCTGATTTGGAATGTGTGACACGCTTTCGCACAGGCTTTCGCGCGCATTGAGAACCACTACTTCGTCAACGGCGGCTTCTTCCCCTCCGACTCGTGGCTGCTCGATAACGTCGGCAAGTTGCGGCACATACCCGCGGTGATTGTCCAGGTAATGATCGCTTTTTGCACGCTTTAAAAGGAACGTCGTGTAACCCGGTCACACGACTTGACTCCAGTACGGGAGCCATAGTTTCGGTCGGTCTTCGGTGGCTTCGTCGTTGTGTGTCGGCGACGGGACCACGTGCCGTGTCTCTGCTCTGCAAACGCCGCGGACTTGAGTTTGCCTTTGCCCTCATTTTCAAGGTGCTCGTGTGCTTCCGAGGCCTTCCGTCGATGCTGAGGTCGTAAATTTCATCGGACACGGCAATCTGGCGTGTCAAGCGCCCGGGTAATCGGAAACAACATCTTTCGGACGTCCGTCTCTTGGTTGGTTTTGGCGGCGTGAGGGACCAACATCGGGACCTTTTCGTCCACTCGTTTTTGGAGACGTTCACTATCCAATTACGGCATGCGAAGTCTCCGGTGTACACAGACGAAGTCTCAGGTGTACACACCTTGATATTTTGAGAGGGGGACGAACTTTGAGGGAAACCAACTCTTGGTACCCTAGGTCTGACAATCAGTGCGCGCGGCTTTTGTGTTCGCAGAGCCGAAGCGATTCTCAGATCCTTTCCGGGACAAAAATACTCGGACGTTAGTTTTAAAAGGCGCTTCATGATGTCACGCGGGCAGTGTCCCCAAGGTCCGTTTAAAAGGTGCGAGTTGCTTTCCGGATCCATTGGCGGCCAAACCAGATGAAAGTGATCAGCAATTTACCATATCGCAGATTCTTTTCTTAATGCAGGGCCGGTATGACGTCGTCTGCCCGATGACGTCAGCTTGGGACTTGCACCGAGCATGGCCCGACGCTGAGTTCAAGGTAAGATGTGAGGCTGTAAGAGTTCTGCGTTGCAGCTTCGAGCATGAAGGAAGCCGCTTTCGCGTCCAGAAAGCTCCTCGATCATCAGCACTGCTTCAAAGAGTACTTGGAAATCCCTTACGTAACGGCTATTAACGTCGTCCAGATCTCAGTCTTTTAAGTCCGGCTCCCCCTACGCTTGTCATGCCATCTGAAACTCCTGTAGCATCCTTCAACGCCTCTGTATGTACGAATTCGAATACTCGTGAATTCGAATGTGGTTTTCGGCCTCTGTCCGTAGGTTGTTCCGGACGCGGGCCACTCGGCCAACGAAGCGGGGATTGGCGCGGAGCTTGTGGCGGCGACGGAGCGGTTCAAACGGTTGTATGCCGACGGCAAAGCTGGTAAAAGTAGCTGACACGATAGCCTAACGAGTTGCACGGAAGTAGAGCTAGTGACATGCGTAGGAGACCACATGCCGCCTCTGTAAGCGGGCCTCAACTCTAAAAACAAGCCCTTGACCTTTGACCTGCAAAAAGTCCGTCTCTTTGCCTTGTTGATTGAAATTGGAACCTGAGCGGACTTGTTACAAGTAGGACTACGATTTGTCCCTTGTTTGGTTGTGTAGCATGTGGCATTCTATGCTTGCAAATCAGATAAGACTTCTTCTTTGATTCTGATGACGTGTGTTTTGCGCTTATCCAGAAGCTTTGAGAGTCATTGGCCCTGGATTGCCACTTGCTTTGCCAGGCCAGACTTGAAATGCATAAAGCTTGGGAACCACTCAGAATGTTACATGCTCGATACATCCAACTAATTGACCTCTCGTACGTACCTTTTCGATCCATGTTTGAACTTAGCATTTCCAGATTAGTCTGCCTGGCATGTATCGGTCCTTTGCATTGATCGCTTCAGCAAGCATTACGCAGACTTGAATCGCACCGTTGTTCAGATGACAATCAAAGAGCTACTTCATTGCAAGACTGGCAAAACTACTTCTCAACAACCTATGAGTCGATGCCGCCCACGCTGTATGCATGACCTTGAAACCCCCGTGATTGCCGCATGGTGCCGGCCGCCCGCGGGCGTGCATGGCGGATCATCCACTCCGCTGGCCCCGTCAGCCCCCGTCACTGCGTCAGCTAGTAGTAGTAGTGTTGTAGAACCCGTTCCGATTGCTCCGGCCATGCACCAACTAGGGGGCGGCGAAAATGGCACTCGCTATATTGCTGACCTTCACTGGCTATTTTGATTGGTCGCCAAGGAATCTTTTGGGGAATCTTTTGCTTTCAAGCCCTTTCACACTCTTCCGAGTCTTCGCGGCGTTAGGCGCATACAATGTTCGTGGCGAAACTAATTCTTTTCGCAAATTTGATTTTCGCCAGATTTTCCCCATTTAGTGTCTGGCAAGTGGATTTCGCCGGACTGGCGAAAATGGTCAGGCCGTCGATCAAGCCAGATCTTCATTGCTCGGGTACTCCCACCCGCTTTCACGAATCTTAACCCTGCTCAGAACCCCGTACTTTACCTTTGCCTTTGCACTTTCAATCGACTCTCCAGAGAAAACCAAAAATATTGGTCGGTACAAGAAATTTGAGAACCGGGACACTCTACCGGCCACAACTGCCGCTGGGATTTTCGCCATTAGTGTCATTTTCGCCAATTAGTGTCTGGGAGCTCCTATTTAGTGCATTCCAAGATTTATTTTCGCCACGATCACTGGGCGCATATCACGGGGCGCGAGCAGGCAAGCAATTGGGTGCCTGGCAGTGACCCGGGCGTGGATGATGGACGGACTGTTCCAATTCAGAATTAAGGGGCCCCGGGCTTCTGCACCGGGTGCAACCGGGTGGGCTTGAAAGACACCGCGCAAAGTTCGAGCCACTTCACTTCCAAGTTCCAACCATGGGCCAATGTAAATAAGTTTGGCGCAGTGGTGTCATGATGAGTGCTGCTGAAAGCCTGGCGGCACTCTGATTCGCAGATTTGCCTGCGGATTGCTTTCCTGATGAGATTTCAGCAGGAGATGTGCATGGGTGCCAGGGTTGTGGTTCCAATTAGCTGAGACAACGCATGGGGGATTGGGGCGCCATCGGTTGGCAATGGTGGCGCCAATTCATCTGAGCTTGTAAAAGGTGGTACTAGTAGGGAGAAGGACAGTTCGTCAGTTCGTTTTGCAATTGTCAGAAGTCTGGAAGGAGGCAACTTGAAGGATCGTCTTTGGCTCTGTTTGCAAGATAGAGTGTTTGCAGCTGTGATGACAACAGTGTGGGATGTTCTGTGTTGAAAGGAAGGTGCACTGGAAACCTTCTTTGAGGCAGGTCATCTTCCACCATTGATTGGCGACCGAAGTATCTAAGGCTCAACGGATAGAAGGGGTGTTCTTCAAAAGGACCCCGGAGGTGTTACTGCATGCTCCATTTTTCTCGCTGTATAATCCCGCCAAGTCATACAAGATGCCGCACCTTTTTGACAACCGATGGAAGCACAAGGGGAAGATGTCCTTCTCAGAGAGGCAGCATTTGCGCAGGAAAGATGAGCTGCCAAAAGAGGAGACGGACAAGGAGCCTTGGTTGTGGGGCTTTGGGTGGCACAGAAGCAAGCCAGAGAAGGTGACCTTCTCAGGTGAGGCACCTTGTTGTTGGATCTTTGCAATTCCCTTAATGATTGTAGTTGAGAGTGGTGAAGCGCTTTCTCTAAGCAGCATTGGCAGATCTCGGCGCTTCTGGAGCAGAACTAGCAGCTCTTGTCTGATGCTTATTGTGGATCTGTTAGTCCTGTCATGGTAATCCTTTGTAAGGACTGCCTTGGCTGGCCAAGTATTCTTCTTGCAGTTGATTCCATGAGTTTGTTGGAAGCTTTTTCAGCGTTCTCAGTGCGTCAAAGCGACCACTGTGGAACGGCTTATCAGCATTACTAGTCATCTTCAAAGATGTCTTCATGTGTTAGGCAAGGTTGACCTTCAAGAAGGTATTTACCACTGGGGTTTCTTTCAATTGTGGTATGCTTGAAGTCCAACTGGCGCACCCTTTCTGTCCAGCTCGTTGTCGTTTGCGCTCAACAGGATTCCCTGCATGGTTGTAATGTAAACAGAGGTGACAATGCAGTCCCCAGAGTAGGTTGCATGGCACAAGGATCGGAAGAACTGGGGCACAACGAGTTTGGGGCAAGCAAAGTCAAACGCAAGGCTAGCCTTCTGGATTGATTGGCTGCAAAGTAACATACAGACACGATTTTGCTCGGAGAACCTTCTCTGTTGCATTCATTCTCGCAACGTCCTTCTTACTTGTCTGTCCAGAACGCCAACGCCTGCGCGAGGCCGACGAGCTGTCGGACGACGACCTTGCCAACCCCCTGTTCCAGAACAACCTGAAACCCAAAGCGACCTTCTCCACGCGCCAGCACATCAAGCTGCGGCATCATAAGGATGAGGCGAACGTGCTCGCTAGTTTCGAGTCTGACTTTGGCGTATTCGGAGGGCATGACTACGAGGACGAGGAAGAGGAGCCCGAAATCGTGGAGCATGTCGAAACGCCGGTGAGTGCGGCTCCTCGTGCAGTCTGAATGACGACTTTTATGAAAGGCGCCACCTTTTGTAAACACCTGGGAAGGAAGTGGAAACACCTGGGAAGGAAGTGGCTTGTCACTGTTCGTTCAATCTGGTCAAGGGGTGTACGCCGATTTGTGTGTCGAATGAGTTTCTGTCATTCGCACGCGCCGAGACCATTTTGAAGGTCAGTGTGGAAGGCACCTGTTGCTCCTACCTAGACATGGTCTTTGGTTTACGACACTTACACAGGGCCGCTGTGAGTATCTGTGGACTGTAAACATTGTCTGCTCGATTCTCTTTGCCTCTCAACAATTCGTGGAGGCCAACGCTTGCAAATGATAGTGTACTTCTGAGCAATTGTCATCGTCGTGTCATTATGTCATCTCCATACTGCCTGAGTCGTCTGGGTCACAAGATATGCACTGCGCAATGGTTAAGGCAAATTTTAGTTTCTGAGCCCTCCTCACAGTCCTCCTGCCTATGATCCATGGTGCTGATTTGCAGCAAGCCTGAAGCACTACGAGAGGGCTTTCGAGGCTAATCCAGAAAGTTTGACATAATCCAAGGTACACAGACGGCTACAATTTCCAGAGCTCGTACGAGAAGTCGTTTTTTGACGCTTTCACTCAAAGAACAGCATTATTTGAGTCCGTGCCTGCCGAGGAGAACATCTTTACATTGGTTTGTCAAGAAAGCCTACACCTTGCCCAAGTTCACAAGCTCTCAAACAGGACAACATCCGTCATATTCACTCCTGCAGACCACTGCGCCTGTCGAGGGTGCGGCGCCCACCGAAGCGGCCCCTGAGGCGCAGAAGCCGGCCGTGGTACGCAAGGTGGTCGTCCGGAAGGGCACGCAGGGGGTTGTCAAGAAGCTCGTGACGGGGGCCATAGCGGGGGCCTTCTCCCGCAGTGCGGTTGCCCCCCTGGAAACCATCCGGACGCACCTGATGGTGGGGCGGGGGGGGTCGGTGCCGGAGGTGTTTGCGCGCATCATGAAGGAGGAGGGGTGGAAGGGGCTGTTCCGCGGGAACGGGATCAACGTGTTGCGTGTCGCGCCTAGCAAGGCGATCGAGGTGCGTGGCTGCGAGGTGGTGTTGTAGTTGGCGTCTAATTCCTTCGTTGCAAGGTTTTTGAGCGAACTTTGTGGTATGGCTTGGGGTCAAAACGAAATCCAGTGGCTGAGCAAATCGTGGGTGATGGGGCCAGAATGTTGCGCTCAGCAAGGATGTCAGGAGAGGACAGAGGCATGTTTTGGACTGAGGACCTGGCACATCAGGGGAATTTGTACGTCGGTTTCGTCGAGGAGTGTTGTTGGAAGCAGGCACGTTAGAGTTGCGCGGAAGATCCTATTCGGTGTGTGCTTTGTGGCGACGCATATCTCGTTTGCGTTGAGGACTACTGCGTCCGGAGTTGGATATTGGTCCCGAGATCTACGTCGCGGTCAGATAGTTTTGCGCATTTGTTTGCAAACGTCGCTGTGCTTATGCCCCCGTGATGCATGTGATGAGTGTGACCTCCGTTTTATCGGCCAGGAGTGTTCGTTAGATGCTCGTCCTATCTCCAAATCAATAGCTTCGGAGTCCTCCCCACACCAATTCAGCCGCAGGGTCCCCTTTTTGGTTCTTACGTCTGACCAAACCTTGTAGACTCAATCCTTAGAATTACGTCCTGAGCCACGTCTTTCTCTCCCGCCTTGCTCTCAGCCCTTCACTGCTGATCCTCCCTCTTTCCCCTCCCTCGCTCTAGTTGTTCACCGTCGACGTGACGAAGAAGGCGCTGTCCCCCCTGGCCAACGGCCCCAACGCCCCGCTGCCCGGCCTGCCCATTTCGCTGCTGGCCGGATCGACAGCTGGCGTCGTGTCCACCATTCTTACGTACCCCCTGGAGCTCGTCAAGACGCGGCTCACGGTTGAGGTGCGTGCGCGGGGCATGGTTCTCGGAACCCCGAGAATGCAGGTTCCAGGTCTTCTTATGCATTTTGCCCTGGTTAGTCGTGCTTGCACAATGCGGAGATTCCTGGTCAACACGTGGGGAGGCGAGTATTCTGAGATCTGCAGGACCGTTTCGCACGGCAAAATGAAGGCTCAAGTCCAAAACCTTTCACTCAGACCTGCTCCTGGAGATTGTGTCCAAAGCTTGGAAGGAGTTATAATGCTCTTGCACACCATTAGTTTGAGTGCTACGGACTCGACAACTTTTAGTCCAAAGATGCATCGGCAACTTGCGAACCCGGTGCTCGGCCTCTTGCATTCGGAGACAAAGGGTCCAACGTCAGCAAGCGGTTGGAAAGAGGATGTCCAGTCCGTTCAACTTAGAGAAAGGGTATTTGCGACCATAGTTTCTTGCCTCTTTTCGAATGGCTTTCCGGAGAGCCTGAAGAGTCCGTTTTATGCCATTTATTTCTCGTCCGTTTGCTTCGAGTGCGGTTCCAGGACAATGTAAGGTCGTCAGCAGCCCACGTGTCAGCCAAGCCGTGCCTTCTGGGGCCTCCGGTTCTTAAACAATCCTCCTTGGTGCTCTGCAATATGGCGCTCCATCTCCATCTGTTCCGTCAGATTGGCGCCTATAGGACGCCAGGGGCTTAGCGAACGGGCGTTTGAAATAAGGGAGGCTTCAGAGGCTGCCTTCAGTTGTGCATGCGTGTGGTCATGCGAGTCTGATAAGAGGTATTGACGACCGTGCTCCGGGCATGTCTTCTCGGCATCGTTGAGCATATGAGCCGCACGTACAGACGGGCAGCAGGTTTTGCTTTGATTGGGCGCTGGTGTTTCGTTCGTTGACCATAATGTTCTGTACCTTAACCGTTGTGATTTGTTCCTTAACCCTGCGCGATTTATGTAATGCAGCGCGGCGTCTATCGGGGCGTGCTCCACTGCTTCGCCCAGATTATCAAGGAGGAGGGCGCAGCCGAGCTGTACCGTGGGTTGGCACCCAGTCTAGTTGGGATCATCCCCTATGCCGGAAGCAACTACTTCGCCTATGACACGCTCCGCCGCACGTGGCGCAAGATCGCCAAGAAGACCGACAAGCAGATTACGAACATCGAGACGCTGTTCATTGGGTCCGCCGCGGGGGCGTTCGCCGCAACCGCGACGTTCCCGCTCGAGGTAGCGCGCAAGCAGATGCAGGTTGGGAAGCTGGGGGGCCGGGTTGTGTATGCGAACAGTCTGGAGGCGTTCAAGGGGATCGTGAAGGAGAAGGGGCTAGGCGGGTTGTACGTCGGGCTCGGGCCGAGTTTGATCAAGCTGATTCCGGCTGCGGGGATTCTGTTCATGACAAATGAGGCAATCAAGAAGGTGTGGGTCGACGAGCCAAAGAAAACGGAGGAGGTAGTGGAGGGCAAGGAAGAGACGAAGGGTAGTAGTCCCGCCGGTGCTGCCACTGGCGGTGTTGATACGGAGAAGGCCACGAGAGGGTCGAATGAAAAGAAGGCCATTCTTGCAACAAGAGCTTAATGGAGGTTGCCAAGTAGGTCTAGGTTGACGTACACAGTAAAGTGATTTTATGAAGTAGCTGCAAGATCGTCGAGCAAGTTATTGGTGGTTTTAGGTGGTCATCAGGGATGCCGATCTGTATTATTGACGATCTTAGTCTCGCCGTATGTTGATTTGAAGCGCAAAGCTTCTGAAAGGGAGCTTGAACGGACTTGAAACGGAAACTTTCAATGTACCACGCCTTTCAGGCAGTGGGGCGGCAACAAGTAACATAGTCCGAGAGGTTCTACTTCCCTGCTGGTCATTGTTCTCTGGAGAATGAAAGCGATCATCGCATCGACTAATTGGCCCGATGTGGTCACATGAAAAGAGTTGACTGCGAGAGAGCAGCAGATTTTCATGCAGTCTTAAGGCTTTGAATTTCAGCATGAAACCGAAGTTACTCTGACGACAACTTTATCCATCCATTCCGACATGAAGTTGACAGGGACAATTTCAAAATATGACCATGTGGATTTACTTACATGAAACCCTCAAAACGGACACATGCCGCGTTGCCGGATCGAGGTTATCTTATAACTCAATGATCTGAAGATTGGCGTACGTGTAAGGTCCTTCCAACCGTGCGAGGCGCAATGTAGCTGCTACTCAGCGATGGCTGGACTCAACAAGCTGCAAGTTCCCCCTGCCTTCCAAAGTTCCATGCAAATCCTTCTGCACTCTTCATGCCGCATGACCACACGTGACCGCTAGGCTCTAGCGCTGCATTCAAGTCCTATACAGTTACGCCCGCCTGAACGGTACGTACCGCGGAACTGATTGAATGTGGCGACCAGAGCAACTGAATCAGGAGACCTGAAACTTTTCGTGCAGCTCGGAGCTGCACAGCAAGTCTTTGCTCAGCCGCTGGCCAGGGCTAGCAAGTCGGCTATGGCGACCAGTTCACGCTGGAAGTAAGGAAGAACGATCAGCATTTGGCAGCGCAGATCTCAGGAGGTTCAAGGTTGAATTGAGATGCTGCCAAGGCGACCTGGATTTCTGCAGAGTATTGGAGAAGTAGGGATCCCTCCAAATTGATCAAGCCATAATCAAGACAGCTCTAGCTGAGCAGGACGGGGAGGCATTCCTAGCAATGGCGGGCGCTCTGCATCTGCAGAGGGTGTGTGTACTTCCTCAATTGAGCTTCGGGCAGAGCATAGATGAAATCGAGCGTATCAATCCTGGCCGAATGCTAGCACCAGCTGTGCTGAACAAACAATTGAATCTGCGGCATTCAAGGAAGGCTGTCATTGCTGCGCAGTGGAATTTGACGAATTTGAGCAAGCAGGGTCAGATCATGCACAAGAAGCTCGTGCGCGGATTGATGGCCAGCAACTTTGGAGATGCGCAGACATCAATTGATGAGAATGTCTTGGTCACAGCTGGGGGCGGAGGGGGTGTGGATGGGACAGGAATTGGGGGCGGAGGGGGTGGAGGAGACAATAGCTATGGCGGTGAAGGTGACGGAAAGAGCAAGAAGAATGTGGAAGAAGCGCTTGCAGTTCTGAAGGAGGCCAGTAGAAGCTTGGAAAGTCTGCCGTCAGATCTTGCACAGGCGATTGAGAGGGGCGCAATTCCAGGATTCCTTGTCGAGAAGTTCCTAGATCTGGAAGGCACGCCGGTCATTGGACTCTTCACAAGGTTTAGTGGATTCCGGGAGCGCCTTTTGGCTGATGACCTGTTCTTGACAAAAGTCCTCATTGAGTGTGGCGTGGGTATGTTTACGAAGGTAAGCGAGTGAGTCCACATTGGAAAGCTTCCAACTTGCAGTCACTGCGAAACAGAAGAGATCTGTATGAGAGTTTGCTTCTTTTGATTGACAGTCCGATAACCTGCATGCCTGATTGCGTTGCGCGCAATCTAACTCAGCACTCTGCTTGTATGCCAGACTGCTGCAGAGTACGAACGCCGGCGAGAGAACTTCTACAAGGAGCTGGACTTTGTGATTGCGGATGTGGTAAGTTCTGGACTAAACCTCCTGAATGTATGTTTGGAAGTCTAAAGCCTTCTCTGCAGAAAATGTATCGTGTCTCAAGTGTTGTCATACCTGTGCTGTTTAATCAGCAGATCTTCACCCTTCTTTGTAGCTTGCCCCTCGAATTGCCGTTTGATAAGTATTTTGCCAGCACCGAGAAGTGGTAATCAACACAATTCACCACCTCAACTTGGAGACATAGGTCTTAGAAACCGGAACTCTTGTTGTTTACATTGAGTAAGGGAACTTTTGGCAATCTCAACGTCCTTGTTCCTGGCCAACAAACGAGGCTAAAGCTTCTCCAGTTGTCCTCGCTCCTTTGGCTTAACTGTTTGCCCTTCTGTAACTTGACCAGGTGATGGCTCTGGTCGCTGACTTCATGCTTGTTTGGCTGCCTGCGCCAACTGTGGCACTCCGGCCAGCGCCAGGGCTAGGATCCAATGCAATCATGCGCTTCTTCTTCAAGTGCCCCGACAATGCATTCCAGGTAGAGTGTCGCTTCTGTTTGCATAAAATGGATCAGGCAGGTCCCTTTCAAGTGCTTGTTAGGAACATCAATGTTATCTTTTGCCTCAAGACAGGACAAGTGAAAGCAAAGCTGTCTCTCATAGTTCACAGTGAAGGGGTAAAACCATCGTTGCTGTTTGTCTAAATGTGAGGCTGCTTGCTAGTACATCAGGAGCCTCCAGTACGGTAATCTATGCAGAGCTTTTTTGACCATTGTCTTCTTGTCATCTTCTTGCAGAAGGCTTTGCCTGGTCAAGACTTCAGCCTACTCTTGAGGGCCGGATCTATACTAGTAAGTTTGTTGTGAGATACTCGCTTGCAGCCACAGGATGTTCGAAGCTGTATCTTTCTGAATGATACATGCCTTAGAGAGAAACTAGATCATGGTGACAAGCTGACCATGTGCGTAATGCTTAACGAAGGAATTGCCTGGGAGTACCAATTTTCTGCTTTTGACCACCAGGTTCATGTTGACTTCTGCAGAGAAACGGTGCAAAGCTATTTGGCGTTGGAACCGGTGCCTCTTTGGTGAGTTAGCTCACTCCTCATGACCAAACCTGCGTTCCTCTCCAGCACACCACTACTCTTGTCTCCCGGATTGTTCTCTGACACGATTCAACATGGTTCAGTCAAATGTAAAAGTTTCGTGACGAAGTCTCAACATACATGCTGTTTTGAAGTCGTTTCTGTAACGGATTACTTTGAGCTCAACCAGTCAAGCAACATCACGCGCCATCTGGTTGCAGATTGGGACCCTCGCGACCAACAGCTTGAGCAAAATCCGGGTGGCTCTGAATCCTGACTATGTTGCTGAGAATGAGGACCTGCCAGTCATCTCGACCAGTGTCGCATACGGTGCATACATGGCCATCTCCAGCAACATTCGGTGAGTCCGAAAAGGCACCCTCTTGCGCACGGAAAAGCTTTTCCCAATTCTTTGTAGTTCCAAAGAATAAAGAAGAGAAAGATCCAGTAGACGAATCTGCCTTGTTAGTCACAGCATCGCAGATGGTCGAGAAGTTGCACCGTTGCATTAATCCAAAGTTCCTTTCTTTTGAAGGGCATGTGCATCCATTCGTTTGACACGGAACCAGCCTTATCCACCTTTTTGGCTTTCACAGAGTATCTTCAACCAAGAAGGCGCATCCGAAATCTGTTGTTACACCTTCCTATCGAGTTCTCCACGGGAATGACTCATTGTTAGCTCAATCTAACTCGGGCCGCTCGCAGGTATCAACTTCTGGCTGGTGTCGTGGAGCAGCGGGTGCTGGAGCCTTTCCTTCACAAGCACAAGCTAGCATTGGGGGTCTCCAGCTTCGTCGTCAGAACGGGAAACACATTCTTGGGATCCTTGCTGTGAGTCTTCTCTCGCCACTTTCGTATTCACATTTGAAGGCTTGTCAGTTCCAGACTGTTTGTTTTGTTGCAAACATCTATGCGCATTCAAATGTCCTGTTTTGTTACTTGACAAGAGGAGGTATGCAACTCAGCCATGTTCGCTTGCAGTTGGGTGGACTATGCTCGATGGGTGGGCGTTCAAGGTTCCAAGGAGTAGGCAAGGAGGATTTTCTCAATGCTCGCTTTTGAATTCATACGCATATTCCTTTGCTGCTCTGCGTACTGAAAGGTATTTGACTATTCGGCATCGTCCTTGATACGAACTGAGCACATGTTAGGAGAAGCCGGAGCCCAGTGATGTGCGCACTTGATTCGACCATCTTGACCTTTGTTGCTAAGCGACCTGGAGCAGTCAAGGAAAAACAAACCGGACAACTGTTTGTTGTGTTAGTCTAGGACTGTACATTGATCTTGATTCTTGACCCATATGGATGCAAGTAACTCACCATGTGGTGGCTTAGGATGCTTGATGTTGGGCCGACAAACCTGAAGCATATACTTGCAATCGTGAGCGGGATGGAATCAATTGCATATGTAGATGAAGATGTTGATCATAGTAGTACTACAGCCCCGCTGCGTATGTGAATTGAGCTCTTGATTCAGACTTCGAACGCTTAACCAACCCTTGAGTTGTGCGGTTTAATCACTGAGGTAAGAGGGTTTCAAATGCGCATTCTCAGCTACAAAACAGATCGAATGATTTCGTGATTGATGGAGTATCATTCTCAGCGGCTGCACACTTAGGGCCAGCTTCACGTTATTGTCCAATGATGTGCGTTGGGATTGCGGTGAGCGCGGGGCAGTGATGTCGATCAAGGCTGCAACCTACGGTCCAACTGAGATGGGGTTGTCGCATTCACGGGGGTATCCTGACTGACATAATCCAAGGGTTAAGATTGTACTAGATCATAAGACCTCATGACAGTTTTGGAAGCAGCATGCCCTTCTACCAAATTGCTGTAACCTATCTGATCAGAGCTTAACGTGAGCCGGTAATTAGGTAGGATGCTCAAGGCTCAGGCCTTTGAGGCATTCAAACTCTGAATCCCTGCTGCCTGCAGCTGCATCTGAAGGCCCTTGTCCACAGCTCAGTACGGCAGTTTCGTCATTTGTGGATTCAAGATTATATATGTGGCATTTGCCGTTATTGATTTATTTGATGGATCGAGACGATCTTAACCTGAGATTTGGGTGAGCCCATGCCCTCCGATCATGGATGAGATCTTCATCGACGACTCACCGTAGTATGCGGTGGCGCATAGAGCTAAGATTCAGGAAGCGTCGGGTGGAATCACAGCTTGCCATGCTAGTTCGAGGCGGAAGGGGAATTCTTGGAACACACATGAAGCTTCGATTTCGAATCCAGAAGTCATGGCGGGATTTTTCGAAGTCACTTCGCGTCGAACGAGGGAGCCTGTCTTCTCCGACTGAGTCAGCCCAAGTCGGGGCCTGGCCGGGCGTCGCCAGCTGCGCATAATTCAAACTTCGAAGTTTCGTCGAACGGACTGCGTCTTGATTCGAAGCAACTTTGGCCCTGCAAAGCCGAAGGGGGGCAACTTCGAAATGCTCTGCGCCATCTGCTTGCTCCTTCATTCTTAGAGAAAGGAGTTGCGGAGGCCAGAATACAAGGAAGGGCGCATGCGTCTTTTTCTTCTGCATCCAACAATCTAGTTTCCCCAGCTGTGCGTTAGGACCTGCATCAGGCCGATAAGTTTGAATCTTGTTTACCTTCCAGCCTACGCGGCAGGAGTTTCTCATAGAGTCGTTGAAGCTAACATTGTCCTTTTGCGAGCGTGACTTTCTGCAATAAGTTGCTTGTGCTGAGCGACTTCTTGGGGGATTTCTGCCGTCTGTGAATATTGAGCGGCCCCTTTTGCCCAGCATGGAAGGGGGTGCAACCACTGGATCGAATCCTAGAACAGTGGAGGAAGTCTTTGAAGACTTTCGGGGCCGGAGGGCTGGAATGCTGAAGGCCTTGACGTCAGGTAAATTTTAAGCACTAGTCCTCCCCGTCACCTTTTCGCCGCTTTCGTTGTGTGTGGTAAAAATGGTCTTTGATGTTGCCTGTATCTCCACGCAAGAATGCGGGAAGATGACCTGCAGCAGCCAATTTATCATGGTCAAGAGCACCACTTGGCAGTTGTTGATATGTCTTTCTGCTTTCTTCTGCTTCTGCCTTTGAGCATGGCCTGTGATTCTCTGACCTTTACCACCATGTTGCTCCACCTCCGGTTTGCGCAGGTTGTCTTGATTTGAGCTTTTGCTAGGCAATATCTAGACCACAAGCAAGGCTCTGTTCTTGCATCTCCTATTTTCTGCCAAGGACAATTCTGCATATCTTTCCCGGGGGCAAGCTCAATGTGCTAATACTTGCAAATCTTCCGCTGTCGGGACTTCTTTGGACGCTGTGTATTTTCATTATTATGCAATCATCCAGCTTCAGAAAATGCTACATTCAACTTATCTTGATCGGTTTTATAACTGAGATTCCACTTGGGTGATTGCTACTGGAAATGACCGTGGAATTAGTCATTAATCATGAGTAAGCTGCTTCCATCCTTACATCAGTCCGATTGGCTGCCATTTCACAATCGGTGTATACAGCTGAATTAAAGTTGCAGCATTTTCATAACAAATTTGCTCGCACTGCATTCTTGCAAAGTGTGGCAGCAAATAGGCATGCAGCCATCTGAGCCTGCTAATCTTTGCTTGTCGCCGTGTGCAGAGGAAGAGCAGTTCTATCGGCAATGTGATCCAGAGAAGGAGAATCTCTGCTTGTATGGTTTCCCTGACGGCTCCTGGGAAGTCAACCTTCCTGCTGAGGAAGTCCCCCCAGAGCTGCCTGAGCCCGCGCTAGGTATCAACTTTGCAAGGGATGGCATGCAGCGAAAAGACTGGCTTTCTCTGGTGGCCGTGCACAGCGATGCGTGGCTGCTGGCAGTGGCCTTCTACTACGGGGCCCGGTTCGATAAGTTTGAAAGGTGAGATCGCATTAGGCAGCCATGTTTTGATGGCGCCTGCTGATTATTATTTCAGAACGAGTTTGGCTCTTCCTGCAAGGATCGCTATGCCCTTCTAGGTTGTGCTTTTGACCTTGAACGGACACAAAGGATGCATTTATCCAGGCTCGTTGCAGTTTGTTGGTAGCAATCCATACAAAAAAGCAATGAGAATCTCTGATCCAATTTAAAGCGTTTCTGGTCAATCTGATTACAATTTGCCTTGCGGTCTGTACTTTGGATGCTTAATTGTTGGCCAGTTTGAAGTGAAGTGCTTGCCTGGTGCTTTACTGACGAGCAGCACTGTTGCAGGAAGCGGCTCTTTGTCCTCATCAACGAGCTCCCGACTGTGTTTGACACTGTGACCGGAAAGAAGGCGCCCAAGGGAGACAAGCATGATGCAAAGAGTAACAAGTCGAAGAACAGTACGAAGGTGAGCAGGTTGCTCGCCATTTCACATGCTGTTGCTTGTTGGTGCAGATTTTGAAACCGATGCTTCTGACTGCAAGCAAAAGAAATGGAGGCAATTCACAAACTGGTAATATCAGTCAGTCTTGCAGTGGACTCCTTGGGTCTGCTGCATAGTATGTTTGGTGCAATATGAGGTCTGCACATCCCCCAGCAAATTAGTGCACGTCTACCAATAATTCAAAGAGTGTAGGTCGGGGAAGTTCTCAGCAGGCACTTCCTCAGCATAATCTGTGCAATTGCTCTTAGACACATGCTTGATCAGATGGCCATTGGCAGCAAATAAGATGGAGAGCCCCTTGGGATGCACTTGGCACTGCTTTGGCACGGAGAGCAGAGCGCCTGAGAGCCAGTACTTTGGAAGTATCGCTCAGCAGTTTTCACAAGGCTCTTGGATTTCAGCATCCTAGGCACGACACTGTGGATGCACTTGGCAGACAACGCTCCAAAATTGATGAACTGTTGTTTGCTAGAGGTGGATCTGATTAAAGGCAGACGCTTTCAAATGGGACAGCCTGTCAGAGGGGGCTCCAATTGCTACAGTCAGTGTGCCTGGTCTGCAATGAAATGGCCAAGGCTGGATATATTTGTGGTAGCTCTGGCATTTGAGGACTCGAGGCAGGCACTGTGAAGAGCGGCTTAGATGCGTACCTGCTGTAAGGCGTGCAAGATCGTTTAGCCCTTGTCACAGCAGACCATCACTCCACTTAAGGGGCTAGTGTCTGGTGTCTTCAGAGTTGGTGTATTTTTTGAAGCAAGCTTGCAATGAAGCTTTGAGCTTAATCGCCAGAAGCGACAGAAGTGGGCGATGTGGACCGTCCAGTGAGCTCATTGGGGGGATCCTGTCTCTACTGGGGGATTGCATCGGATTCCTGTGGCTGAAGAAGACCTGAGTATTGGTCTGGTTCAACAATGGTCCAAGAGGTGGTCTCAATATAGGAAGCGGAGCAGGCTGACTGATCGTTTTAGTGGCAAGGGCCCAGATCCTATCTATCAGAAATCAATCAACTGTGCAGATTCTTGACATCTGCTAGATTCTGTCTCGAGTGTCCTCTCCCCAGACCCTCGTTCCCCGTTTTTTCACTCAACCGTCCTTCCGGTCACCTGCATCGGTGACCTGCTTGTCCAAAGCCAATACCTGCACCCAAACTGTGAGAGCTTTTTCTAGCAGGTGTACTTTCAAAACAGATTCAGCATCGTTCCAAGAACAAAAAAGACTTGCCACCAGAGTTCATGAGCACAGCAACACCGGTAGCTAACGCAGTTTGCTGGTTTTCTGGTGTCCCCCGGCAGAAGAGCGGAGAGCACCAGAGTAAGAAGCAAAAGACAGTGACGGACGACGAGGAAGAGGACGACGAGACGTTCTGCGGGATCTGCGGCGGGCCCTACTCGCAGTCCGAGTTCTGGATAGGTTGCGACATCTGCGAGAAGTGGTGAGTGGTCCTTTCAGTGCCTGCTTCTGCGGGGAGGTGTTCTGCTGTAGGTGCCCTCTTTATAAAAGAAGGAGCAGTCTCTTGCCAGGAGAATCCATTGAATTAGATTCTCTTGAAGTTTGCTAGAGCAAGCTTTTGCTATTGGGGGAGGTAATTGCGAGCTTGTAATGCTGTAGGAGGAGGCCCTGCTATGCCAATGATGGCGCATAGTTCAGTGCTAGCATCTGATACTGAACGCTAAGCTTGAATTGTCCGAAAATCTGTCAGTCAGGATTGGACGCCTTACTGTTTACTGTTGTGTTCAATAATACAGGTACCATGGTCGCTGCGTGAAGATCACGCCTGCAAAGGCTGAGCACATCAAGCAATACAAGTGCCCAGCGTGCCTGGGGAAGAAGTAATAGGTGGGGTAGCGATAAGAAAGACTGTTGCCGCATGTTTGGGGTAAGACTCGGGGGATATCACCGGGTTCAAGACGTGTGGCACGCTCACATTGGCAGGCACGCAGGATCACTGCCGGCCTCATACCCAATGGGCTGTCAACGTATGCGGAGAACCAAGATTAGCACGAAGTGCAGGTTGTGAACTTTGATATGTTAGGTGAAGCACTTTTGGGCTGCATGACTAGCTAAGCAGCTGGATGTGTGCCTTTCTAGCTTGTTCTTGCAAAGACAATTGAGGGCAGCTGTCTACAATTCAACAATATGGGCATGCTCATCAACCAAGACGTTTATATTTCCACTTGTCACCCTCGTTACCGATTTCAAAAAAGTAGCAAAAACACAATCATGACTACTGTTGTGGATCACTAAATGGCAGCAAGGATTGATGGTTCACTGATCCTGATTCACGTCAGAGTCAATCGGTATGTCGCGGGTTTTTGTATCTGTGAAGAGGGTTGAGGTGCTCGAGCTTGCGCGTCCACTTGATTATAAAGTAACACATGCATGCTAGCTTGCTAGGTTGAACGTACTGCATTGCTATAGTATTATCATGCATGCATGTGCAGGCTGCGGCCTGTGGTCAATATTGTACTGTGGATCGACGGCCGGGTCGATCCCAGCTGAGCGCGCGCCTGGATGATCAGCTATAGCAAATCTATGTATATATGACTGATTGTCAACTGTGCACATGAGTTAGTGGGCATGATCGTAGATATTGACCATGTACGCAATTTCAATCAATTATAGTGTGCATATATGCCGCGGCAGCCGGGCACTGATATGACGCGGCAATTGATATCCGGATTGGCGATCCGGGATGGATGGAACCGCGGGGTCTTGAGCATGGCTACTAGCCGCCCTGGAGCGCAGAACAGTGACATGTTAAGAAGAACGCTATCGAATGAATCCACACGCACTGCATTCTCGCCGGCACGTATCATTCATTAGGTCTGATAAAATGCGCATGCGCAGTGGCCTGAGAACTACCTAAGCCTTATATTAGATGTAGGTTGTCTGACCAAAGCAGAGCAAAATCGATCATACTCGTGCACTCCGAGGCTCACGACCTGCGTCGGAACTAGGCTAGCCTCCCAAGCCATGATGAAAAGCTTTCACGCAGGCCAATCGACCGTCCAACACAACTCTATCAGATTTTCCGTCCAAGAATGTCCGCAGGAACTACCAGATTCGTCTTAATAGCAAGATAATCTGCCGCCAACCTATTTCGACATTGGATGCAGATCTGCTGGTAATAGCACCTGCTAAACAGTGCAGTCATTTGATTCTTTTCGGTTCCATAACCCTCAGTGCTTCCTCAACAAGCAGACACCGCTTGTCGGAAAACAATGGCGTCTGCTAAGGACGAGACCTGAAGTTCTTGTGCCGTTAACTTGAACGTCTGCGAAAAGGCGCAGAAGAATTGCATCAACAAACAAGCCAATGGTTTGAATAATGAGCAAGGCAACGAGCAAGGCAACTGAAGGAGAAATGTCTGTCCAGGTCACAGTGGCCATCTGCTCATCGTCACAGCAGCCCTTAAAAGAAAAGCACAGCCGAAACAAAGGCAAATTCGGTCCAGATGCACAAGGTCCCTTGAAACCAAACTGTCCAGAAACAAGCGCTTCTTGAGGGCCGTTGCGAGCATGTCCAGAATAGAACCAACCGCACCTTTTGGATAAGATCCCGGTCCGCTCGAGCTTCGAGCTCCGTCAACGCAACCTCGGTCCCATCGACAAGAGCTCTCGCAGCATGCATCTGTGCCAAGACAGAGACCGCAAATTTCAGCTAGCGACAACATGCTTCAAGGAGCTTTGATGGGTTCCGTCATTGCATGGCAGAGTTACATTAACCCTCAAACCATTTCGCGTAGCCAGGAGGAAGACTCGTGCAGACTCATAGTACGCAAGTTGCAAGCAAACTTGATTCGCAGGCTACGTTCAACACTCTCCGGTACGAAAGCGACAGTGCATCAAGCTCAGCTTCAACGTTTGCAAACAAAGTAGGTAGAAGGTGCAACCTTGCAGAAGGAATACTGGGCAGTGTTGTACGTCGCGACCTGCCCTATCGGACCTACCTCGTCAGGGGTTGCGTCGAAACGCGCTAAGAGGAGATACGCCGTGTCATTACCGACACCGATCCTTCGAAAGGACTCCGTTATCTGTCAGGGAACAAGCGCCAGCAAGAGATTTCATGGCCGGTTTTCGAAAGCAGTAGATCAAAAAGTCACAGCTGCACGGCTTGTGAGCTGGCGAAAAGACTACCCACCACACAAAGGACTACCCGCCAAACAACGCGCTCAACTTGTGGCCCATGTTCGTCGACGGGCTGTCAAGGAACCGGCCAGCGCAGTTTTTTCAAGTAGGAATATGACTCTTTTGGATGTGATGGCGTTTCTGAAACGTTTTGGAGATGGTTTGGAGCCCTTTCACCAGAGGTGCCCATGAAACAACGAGCTGTCAAATTGTTTGGGAACTGGTCCATCAAAGAGCACTACAACAGCGAGCGTATGAGGGACCTGGCTGCGGCTACGCTTGAGACCACGATTCAAACATTGCACCCAATGCAACAAAGTCCAATCGTCACATTAGCTGTCGACACCTTTTTCGTCAGCTACGATTGAGAGAGTCTCCAAAGGTTGAGAAACCAGAGAGAAAGCCATCAAAGCTGACGCCTTTACCAATACCCTGGCTCGAGCACCGTGTCTGGCAACTTGACGCCCAGGCAAAGGACGCCCCTCTATTGCGCAAATCGTTCAACCGTTCTTGGACGAGCGCCTGAATGCAACCGCGGAACGCTGAGAGATGGTTTTTAAAAGAGAAGCTGTGAAGGTGCTCACGTGCTTGGACCCTGCGTAGTTCAGCACCAGTTCCGAGTGCAGAGTTTTGGACCGCAGCTGGCCCCGCGACTGTGTGAGAAGTGCGGAGTGGGCCGCCGCTAAAAGGGGGAAACCGTCGGGAATCTGCATCCGCAAAAAAGCGGATGTAAGATTGCTTGGTAACCGTTTGAATCCTAAAACCGGAGTGCACTCAGCAAACCAAGAGAAAGCCAAACTACTTCTAGTGCCTCGAGGGGGAATTCTAGATGCTTCAAGGGGGAAACTGTGCGAAGGACTTCGCACCCCAGAAGATTAGCTACGCCTTTTACAATTCAAGGTGATCATGTTTTGGAGCAAGACGCGCCCCTTCGTCTTCCCGGGCTCTCTTGGTCAAGACCTGGTGATTTGATTTCTTTGAGGTCCTCACAACACAGACTTGAGCAACCTTGGGTTGGCCTGGGTTTAGGGCCCTTTCCCATGATCATGACGGTACGAAGCTGGTAGCCCCCTCACAGAGCATGATAGGAGTGGACCGGAACTTAATGCCAACCTCTCCTGCTAAAGTCGGGACATCAGTGTCAAATGACCAATCACAGCTGTCCAACAAACTCAACTCCATCCGAAGTATTGCCCCGATCGGTCTGATTCACGGACCCTACGACCAATCAAGGAAGAGACGTCTCTGCGACGAACGGACTGGCGGGAATGCAACCTTACCAGAGCTGCGTTCATCAGGGCGACTTCTGGCACCAGCTTCGCACTTTGCAGCAACTCCAAAAGGAATCTGCAAAAAAGAGAGAACCTTCGTTCGCTTTATACTGACAAACAAGTAGTGCGGTCGACAATAGATTCTGACCACTCTTTGAAGCAGTCTTGACGCCTGGAATTGATTACTAACAGGAAAACTTGCAAAAAAATGTTAGTGCTGGCATATCCAAGGAAAACAATCAACTGCGGTGTTATGACAGGTAAGAGCGACTTACTTGCTGTTAGCGACTTGCTCGAAGAGAAGTATGTGCAGCGTCCGCCCTGGGAAGTCATCAAACTTGTACTCCATGACAGGCGGACTGGGACTGGCGTGCGCACAGCAGAGCACCTATGCTTTGTTTTTAAACTGCAATCAAGCAAGTGATGATGTCAACTCGACTTCCCGGCCTGTCTATGACAGGTCTGGACTCTAGGGAGACCCATGGATGCCCAACGGGTGTATTTCGTTGATCGAGCATCTTTTCAAGGGGGCACTGATGACCTAGGAGCTACATAGCCTTGCATCTGAGATTGAAAGAGTCCCCAAACTTTTCGTCCTTTGTTACATAATCATGCGAAGAATAGCATGAGGGGCCGACTGATTGCGGTCAGTGGCCAATTGGTTGGGTTTAGTGGCCAACCGATTGCGGTCAGTATGGGTGGACTGGTGTTATGCCAGCCCTTCTAGATACTTGTTGACCACCGTTCACAAGGATCAACTGCAGCGACAATATTTGGAAAGTACCTTTAAGTGCGCAGAGTATAGTATCACTTTCGAAGAGTGACATGCGCCAAAAACCTACCGCTTGCTGCATGCAGGCCTTCAGAGCTGCAAACTCTTTCTCGCACTGCCCTTTCTCCACCTCCGGCAACTTGCTAGCCACACAAGTCCCGTATGCCTTTGCCTGTTCAGACAAGGTCACAAATGGAACCAACCATAAGATCTACATCGTAAACTCCATTAAAAGTTTTAGATTGATGTTATCTGAAGGGAAGCAACTCAAAAAAGGAACTATCTAGCTTTTACGGCTTTTCCGGTGCGAAACGCCATACCTTTCACAATATCTCGTATCCAAGTACGATGAATGCAGCAAGGTGCCACCACCAAGGGACCAGCCACATACAAGCCCTCAGGTTTTGAGATCAGTTTGAAGGGTATCAGCGTCGCATCGAGTAAACTAGAGAAACTTAAACCCAGCACAGCTTTTAAACCTTTGCATGCTACACCATCACTTAACACATCAAGCTCCTTATGAAACTTGTATAAACTAGCATGGCAATGCTGGTTTCAATCTTTGTCTGTGCTGTTATTGACTTGATACCTCTCAGTACCATTGGCATCGCCGCCCGAGTACCACAGCACAAAGCCTCACCTCACTCGAGCACTTACGAAGCCCCTGCCTGATCCTTTCAATTATCTGCTTTGGATCCTTTTTAGGCACAATGTCTTTTCCTCCAGGCATCATCAAACAATCAGCTGACGCTCAAACTTCAAACACCCTGCTTCAGCCAGTTAATCAAAATCCATGTAGTGCAGGTGCTCGTCAGTTCAGGTTGAAGAGGGACTGGATTCGAGGAAAGAACCAGAATTTTACAGTTGTCCTACCACAGCTGATCTTACAAGAAGAGGCGCCATCAAAATGCTCCACTTCGAAGTTCGCCGCCCTCCATTGCTCCAATTTCCGAATTTCAATCAGAATATTGGCGAGCCAATATTCTGCGTTGCCTACTTTCCGGTCCACATTTCTCAGCGGAAGCGGAAGCGCTGCTAATCACCGGTGTCTCCCTCCGGTCACTTCTCACTCTACTTGAAAGTTGCGACTTCGACCGGAGGATCCTGATGAACTGCTGAATGAAGGGTTCCGCTTCTCTCCTTTTCCGCCGGATCAAGCCGTTAGAACAAACCCCTCCCTGAAGGCTTCAAATTAAAATTCTCCAACACTGCCCGTACAGCTAGAGGCGCACTGCTGGAACTTGGAACTTGGAAGGGTGGAAGGGGCCAGGGCGGCCTCTCCTTGCATGAATCAACAGACCTCTTCAGGAAGCTGCCTTCCGCCCTTGCCACCAGAATTTTGGGGCTTCTCAGGAATTGGGGCACATATGGTGTTGTAAAGGAGCGGTTTCCTGGCAATACAGCGTGCATTGATCCTTTCATGTGCATGCTCGCTGGGATTCACACTCTCAGAAGATGGCGTCTGCAAAGAAGAACTTCGAGTCTATGACTGTTGCGCAGCTGCAAGACTACCTGCGAGGGGAGGGCGTTGAGCTCCCAGCGAAGACGCAGCTGAAAAAGTACTACGTCGGGCTTGCAGTGCAGCAAAGCGAGCTGTCGGCTGGTAACCTGACATCACCGAGAACGCGATGGGGGTCCGAGCCGGTTGAACTGCGCACCTCACCTCTGGGCGGAAAAGATGGAAAAGCTGCGGAGAAGGGTGAAGCTTCTGAGATGCCCCAACAGGAGGGGGCTGCATCGAGCAGTAAAGCTGACAGGACTGGCACCGCTGTTCCCAGACAGCCTGGCCGAAGTGAAAGAGATAGTGTTTCTCAACGGCTGAGGTCGCCAGAGCGAGGCCGCCCCATCAAACAGGAGGGGGGTGCCACTCCCTACAAGTCTCCCCGTCGGATGCGAGAGATGTCGCCCCTGCGTCGCGCCAAGTCCCCATTGAGAAGGAAAGCAGAAGCAGCAGCAACTAGAGGGGACGCAACCACCAGCACAGCCCGAAAGACCCTGGATGAGACTCTGTTTGGTGGCCCCAAAACACCTCCCCAAGCCAGCAAGCCCTTGACACAACCTCAGCCAGAGCCCTTGGCAGCAGCGGCAGAAGTAAAACAAGAAAGGGTCCCCAAGAAAACAAAGAAAGCTGGCTTCTGGGTGCCATCCTTCTTTCAGAGAAGCAAACGCGAGAACGTCGAGAGAAGCAGTAGAGAGGAAGTGAGAACCATGCGCGTACAGAACTTGGGACGGCGAAGCTGGGGGGCGGCAAAGGCGGGGTGGGAGTTACTCAGCAGAATCCTGAGTGTCAGGCCGCCTCAGTGGCTTGTACTCCTTCTCGCTCTGGGGATGGTCGTGGCGCTGGCGATCTCATACTTGCAAGCAGCGCTGCGGCCGATACCATTCTGCGATACTGGGGCTTCACCTGTCGGTGAGTATGACGGTCTGCAAAGATCACCTGCTCTTTGTCTTCCGCAGAGTCTTCATGCTTGTGCTTTTCTGAATCTCTCGTCGTTATGAGTTGAGATTATAGCTCCCTTTTTACCTTTTCCCTCGTAGGTCACCTCGGCGGTGTTGTTCTGTAGAACTCGTATAGGTTGCCCATCCTTCTCCTTTAGCTTTTTATGAATTTCTGGTAAAAACAATCTGGTATGTTGCAACTGCGTTGCATTCCAAGGTTACCATTAGTGACTCTGGAGTTACACAACGTCTTGGCATTCATGCACCACCTTCTGATCAAGTTGCTTGCAAGGATCCCAGCTCGCTTGATGCGTCTAGTTGTTGAGGTGCACGATCGCAACAGTGTTCTAATGGCTTTTACAAGACTATCCTGAAGCCATTGGTATGTTGAGAGTTCTGCATTGATGTCAGTAACCGAATCTGGGAATGTCGGTGACATTTTCTATTCTTTGCGGGCGCACATTCTCCTCAACAGTCTCTGCACTCCCTGTGGACCTGACCCTCTTCACGATTGAAGTGTACTTTTTGTACTTGAATCGTACCTGGTTGTTACACATCCTCTGAAACTCCCTCTTTTCTTTCTTCACAGGCAGTCAGTGCATCCCCTGCCCCGAACACGGCCACTGCGAGTCGGGCCACTTAACGTGCGCTGTCGGGTACGAAAAGGTTGGGCGGCACTGCGTAAAGGACAAGCGAGTGGAGGCGCGGGTGCAAAAGCTGGCTGGGAAAGTGAAGCGGTTCGCATGCCAGCAGCGGGGACTGGCGCTGTGCGGATACAACGCCTCGGAAGCGGTGACACGGGCGAGCGTGATGGGAATGCTGGGAGAGGGCCAGGTGAGGCCGATGGATCTATCTGATTCGAATATCTCTGCCAAATAGCTCTGTAGACTAAACGATTTTTGAAAGTGGACGTTTACAAAATTTCTCTTTTGAAGATCCAGATCAGACAAGCCATGTATTTTCGATCAACACTTTCAAAAGTGTGAAGCAAAGAGCCACCGTCCGAAGGGGAGTGGAGCGAAGCAGGGGGCAACAGCCCCACTGATCACGTTTATTTGACACTGTGTTCTGGCTTCTAGAGATCAACAAGGAGAAGAGAACGGCAAATGTTGCCAGTAGGGACGGTGCTGGTAGCAACTAGACTCAATTGGACTAAATTCACTTATTGCTCTGAAGTCAGAAGTGTGCCACGCTGCTGTGTTCGAGGAAATAGGCAGCATCTTAATGGAGGCCATCCATTGTACTCAAAAGAGTCCGTCCAAGAATGGCTGCAGTCAGGACCCTAGCAACGTCCAAAAGCTCTGATCAGGGGTCTCCTCGACAGATTCGAAATTGACTCATGCAAGACGATGTTGGGTCGTTTGCAACCATTCTTCAGAGGTCTCGGCCCTGAAGCAATTTTCGTGCACTTGCTACGCACCGTCCGTTTTCGAAGCTTATTCTGAACTGTTAATTCCGCAGACTGTGGACCAACGGACGGCGGACATCTTTTCCCTGGCAGTGCAGAGGGCCGGCGAGGAACTTCTCATGGCGGCAGAGAACGGGTGAGCTGCTTCAATTACAGAATACTGTTGATGATCTGTACCGCTTTGGAAAACTTTCACCTTAGCCAAAAGCCTGCTTGAGACGGCATAGAGATGGTCGCTGCTCGGAAGTCCGACGCTTTGCTCTTTTGCAAGCACCCGTATATGCTGAGAGAATTGTATTTAGCATCACTCGGTTACTCCCAGGCATTGGACATCATTTTCACACGAAGATCGCTTTCCACACAGCGAAGATTTGAGATCAGCGAGAGAATAATGTGCTTTCGAAATGCCAGAACGAAACCTGTAGGTTAGGAAGACAACAATCCCGCTCACATTGGCTCTGTTTGTGCAGAGTACCCGTGCTGGTGTGTCCTGACGATCTGGCGCGGCAGTACAAGCCGCTGAGCTGTCTCGCCCGCGAAGCGGCGCAGCGCAACTGGAAGCCCCTCGCGCTGCTGCTGCTGTCCATTCTGGGGGCGCTCTACTTTTGGCGGCGGCGGCGGCAACAGCAGGCGCTTGTGAAAGCTGCTGAGACGCTCTACGAAAAGGTTCGTAAACGCTTTTCCTCAATTGTCGGGGAAGTCTGCCGTCGCTGTCAGCGCTTCTTTTCGCCTCTGCCATTCCCACCTGCGTTCAGGCGCTTTGATACCACCGGCAACAGGAATACAGTCAGGTCCGTGGGCTAGAGTTTCATGCCTCTCATTTTTTGCAGAAAGGCTGTCTCCTTTGAGGTACAAAGGGAGCCTTTCTGAAAGGGTCGGCGAGAGCCGACCCTCGTTTCCCGATGTGGTACAGTAGTTTGTTAGCCTCTTCGTCCTTGTCACAACAAAGTTCATTCCGCCCAAGTCTTAGTGCACACTGACCGATCATGGTTCGCAAGCATCTGTCCTCTGGCGCTCTCCAATTCTGCACGCTGCATCAACGCATCAAAGATAGCCAAACAAATGCGAAGCAGCCGCTTTACCCCCCAATCGCATAATTGCACAATAAACTCAAACGTATTCAACCACCACAATCACCCCCACCCCCCCGAACCGCAGATCTGCGCCGAGCTGGAGGACGCGGCCCAGCGGCCGGGGGGCGCTCCCAAGTGGAAGATCGCGACGCACTTCCGGGACTCGCTGCTCAAGCCGCGGGAGCGGGGGGGGGCGCTGTGGAAAGAGGTTGACCGCCTGGCCAGGGAAGACACGCGGGTGCTTGTGCGGCAGCAGATGGTGCAGGGGGAGTCGTTCACCGTCTGGGAGTGGCGCGGTGAGCTTTTCGGGGGGGTTCGATCTCACCTCAGGTAGCCCCCGAGATGAAGAAATGTGTTGCTTGGACTGTTTCTTAAAACGCGAATAGTCCGGGGGGGTCGTTCACCGTCTGGAGTGGCGCGGTGAGCTTTTCGGGGGGGTTCGATCTCACCTCAGGTAGCCCCCGAGATGAAGGAATTTGTTGCTTGGACTGTTTCTTAAAACGCAGAAGGTGCGGGGGGGTCGTTCACCGTCTGGAGTGGCGCGGTGAGCTTTTTGGGGGGGGTCGATCTCACCTCAGTTCGCCCCCGATGAGAGGAAAGTATGCTTGGACTGTCTCGTAGAAGAGTAATGGTGCACGGGGAGGCCACCCTCCGGCAGTGGCGGGTGAGCTTTTCGGGGGTGGTTCTCCACCCCGGGATGGTTGTGCTGCGATTGCGTCGTAGGACAAGAGGATTTGTTCACAGTCCGAGAGAAGCGGGTGAGCTTTTTCAGGGGCTTGATGAACAGATACTTCGCCGTCAAGTTGGGAAGGCGCGTTGAGTTTCGCGACATTCACTTCTTGCCTCGACGTCTTCTCGTGTGCTCTTCCTTTTTCTTCTCCGTCAAATCCGAATCTTTAACCGTCAAAGCTTCATAGTATTCCACTCCGTAAGTCACGATATGGAACCAGACGTTTCGGCATCTCGGCACGTATTCTCGTCGGTTCATCTTAGCGGCACCTGGGCTCAGGACTGGTAGCCCAAAAAAACACTGTTGAGAATCTTTGTCGCTTCGCTCTTCGCTGATTTTTGCCCAATTGAAACATCCGATGAGTTGGGTACTGATTGGGACGTGATCAGTACCTAATTACGTACTCTTTCTGTTCAGAAGCGGGCGCCCTCTTGTCTCCGACTTTCAAAGGCACGGCCGGAGCCCCCGCCAGCGGTACGCCCTCCAATCAGGTCAGCATGACGTCATCTCTTCTAACGCAGTTCGAAAGGTGTTGTTGATAAGTCCGGAGCAATCTCAGCACAGTGGTTTTCTTCCCTGAGCACATTGGGTGCTCAAGAAGACCCTTCGTTCGGCGACAAGATTGGGACATGGTAGTTGTTCAACATCATGTGCAAAATTTCTCACCCGTCTGATGCCCATTTGGATTTGGAGGCGACACTGCGCCAAGCGCACACAGTGCCCGGCAGCCAGAAGAATATCGCCCATCACGAGTTGGCTGAAAGTTTGAGAACGCAGTGGTCTCTTCCTTGTTTGACTCGGATGATATCCTGACACACTTTGACCTTGCATCCACAAGGACAGCCCTCTACGACGGAATCAACTCTCTTTCTGCGGTTTCTGTCAAAATCACATTCAATCGGGTTGTCTGATGCGGAAGATGGGTGCCTTGCAGCCTACTGAAGCCTTGGTGCGGCGGAGGCCTTCGAACGAGACACCGTCTCGCACAAATGGAACGCCGTCACGGATATACCCCAGCACTAACACCATAAACATAGAACCTGTCCGCTGGAAGTTTTGATTCGCAACCTACTCAAAGCAATGCGAAAGCAACATAACGAGGACGACGCCGGTGATTTCAGGCGTTCTTGTTCAAGCGGGACTGATTCATAAGCAGAAGCCGGAGGAAGACTTGTTAACATCGTTGTGGGTTTAAAGTCTGAGCAGATCGTTGTGGATCCAAAGTTCTCTTGCTCAAACCTCGATGTTGGATTATCCGTGATACAGGTTGCGTCTTTGCGAAAACTTGTTCATAGTGCCAGTCATTTAATGGTCTATGCTCATTATTGCAGCTATCAAGGCGCAAGCAGCAGCTTGTAAGACCGGACTGCCGCCATATCCGTCCCGGCAGTTCAGGCTGCCATGCTGCTGATCGAATATGTGCATCACGTATGCATGTGCGGATCTAGATCGTGATATTTCAACCGTCAAAGTCGGGCTCTAATGCATCCTCGATGATGCCTTCGAAAAGGGCAAGACGTGATCATGGCCGGGCCCGGACGACGCGCGGGCCCCCGGGGCCCATGTCACTGCAACGCTGGATCCTTATATTAACAAGGACTCGGGACGGCCGCCCCCTTCATGCACACTGAGTGACCGTCATGGATCAAATACTATGTATGCAGCAACATGTATCATTTGCATCCGGCCGATAGTATAGCTAGCCCGAGCCTAGGATTGATTGCGAAGCAGGCCTATATGCATGATATGCTTGTTGACGTACACATGGCAGCACGGTTGAGGCCCACGGCGCTTCAGTTGCCGTCACAGTGCGATCCTGATCTCTAGTTGATCGAGATCGACAATATCACAAATTATGGGGTTCTTCTGTAGGTGTCCAAGTTGAACGGGAATGTCCACGAACGATCTGGATATGCATGTGGCGCCCTTTCATAGTCAGAATGGTAGATTGGTCGGATCGTTCTGCCATGCAAGTTCCATTTTGCACCACCCTTTATTGTTTCTCAAGGCTCAACACGAGTCCTATCCATCTATCAACCTCGGACACGATCGATGCGATTCCACAACAAGTTGGATAAGTTTCGGTTGTCTGTACGCAAAGGCTAACACAGGCTTCCTGTCTAGAACTCTACTACACAGCTCCAGGCATGAGAGGCCCTCTCAATGATCTCTCAAAGATTGCTCTTACTACTTGACCGTTCCCTGAGCTCCCGAACTGCGGCTCTCCGCAGTATCTTCGCCGACCGACGAGCCCATCCCCTGGTCCGTGCGCAATGCCATCTGAGCCACCTGCAGTCACAGGGAATATCCACTCAGTGGGGCACCGTATCAGGAAAGGTTTGAAAGCGGACCATGCGAACATTCTTCGACTCGGAGAAGGGCCGAAATCAGCGGGGAGCTCAATGACGCCTGACGCAAGTGCTCGGCCGGTCTTTATATGGAAGTTGAAACCGTTCGTTGAGAAAAGTTGGATTCTGAAAACGATTAGCGAGCTTGCAAGCAATGACCCACCATCAAACAGAAACTGATCCGAGCTTTGAACCCAACAACGAAATCGAGGCGAACGTGGCTTGTTTAGCGGAAGGCGGCTGTTCAAGCTAATGGTGATGTGACGGCATCTGAGCCTCAAACAACAATCGGGACCGTGAACGCCGCCTTGCAGAATACAAATTCGAGGTTGGGTTGACGAACCTGGCCAGCAACCACTCCTTTTGGCGCGAACACTACTGAGCATGCAAACCCGATCCTCGAGGTAGAGAGACATAATCGGGAATTTACGCAGTCTGCTCGAAAGTTGGTCGCAAGCTTCTTAGCAGGATTCGGATTCGGGTACCGCTGAAGCGTCCCCACGGCGCAGCAGACAAGGGCTGCCCCCTGCTTGCTTCCAATGAGTACCTCGCCCTCTTTCTTCTCAAAACAGTGAGAAGGCCAAAAGCAGTCAAAGCTGAAGTCCAATCCTTCGAATAGTCGTACCATCAGCGGGTGCATCCAAAATTGATCAGAATGTAGGAAGTAAAAACAAACGGGTGACGCACCTTCCGCTCCGCGTCCTCCAAGTCAGACCTTAGGGTATTCGTGTCGGGATGTGCGGGGCCGAGCGCCTTCTCCCGGATCCCAAGCGCCCTCTTGAAGAGCGGCACCGCCTCTTCGTCCCTGCCTTTCTTACAAACGAGGGCCCCCATGCTATTCAGCGTGACAGCCACGTGGGGTGATCCAAATCCAGGGCCCTCTCCCGGGTTGCGAGCGCCCTCTCGTACAGCGCAAGGGCCTCCTCGTACTTGCCTTGGTCGCCGAGTAGGGCCGCAAGGCTGTGCAGCGTGATAGCCACGTGGGGGTCGTCCGGTCCCCGAGCCGTCTCATCTATGCGAAGCGCCCGCTGGAGCAGCGGCAGCGCCTCGTCCAACTTGCCTTGGCTCTGGAGCACGGCCGCCATGCTTTTCAGCGCGGGGGCCACGTCGAGGTGGTCCGGCCCTAGGGCCTTCTCCGTGGCAAGCAGGCTTTGCCCGAGGAGCTGAAGCGCTTCTGCATGCCTCCCTTAACTTTCATGGATAGTTGCTTGCACCTGCCACGCTCGTGCCCGAACCAGACCAGTGTTGACCAAGTCAAGCCCGCCATCGACTTCTGGACCCGGACCCCCATCTTGCCGTCCAAAGCAACAGAGCCACCGCTTGGTATTCTGCTTCCGCTTTCTTTCGATAGGGGGAGCTGGGGGAGCTGGGGGAGCTGCATCTGTGTCCTCAACTTCCTTGACCACACCCTCGGCAATCTCCGCGGCACGAGCGTAACCCCCGGATCGGTTCAGGGCTTGCGCGAGTTGAAGCCTCCACTCCCAACCCCGCGATCCCTCCCCCAACGTTTCGAGACCGCTCTCGAGCACCGCTTCAGCCGTCTTGCAATCGCCACCATCGCCCAGGAGATATCCTGCGTACTTGGCCCCAACCCTACGAGCATTCTCCAACTCCGAACGGTCGAGGGCGCCCAGAAGCTTGACCACCACGTTCCAAACCCCCCGGAACTGCTGCAATGTTCCCGCGGCGCATTCCATGCCCGCAACCGTAGCCAGAGTTGCCGCTCTGGCCGCGTCCACCCCGTCCTGGCGCCTCACGTACTCAAGAAAGAGCACGTGGAAGGTCAAGCTGGTAACCTTTTCTGCAAAGAAACCCATGATCTTGTGTCAGCTCTTTACCAAACTGATTGGCCATGAGATTGGCCGGGGCGCATCAATACTTCGAACATACTTCGTGGAGCTTCTTTCAAAGCCAGACCCCAACTGTATTCAGGTGAATCTAGTAGCAAGCAGTAGCCAATCTAGATTCCTAGGCTCGCACTAAGACTCTCACCAAAACACGGAAAAGCAATTTTGGACTCTTCAAGGCGAACTTTGTTTACGTCCTGTTCTAATGGTCTTCCCAAGAAAGTTTGCAGAGAATCTGGGACTGACATTCTCCTGTGTTCGTGCGTAATTTTTCAGAGAGAGAGTTCAGCGCAGCCAGGTGGGTGGAGGGGGCTTCGGCAAAACCGGGAAACGAAGAAGTCTCTGACCTCTAGATCATTAAAACGATGCAAATGGACGGTCTGCACTTCCAAACCAAGTTCCGTGACAGATTTTGGAATAAAGTCTGCATTGAATGCGCACAGTACAGATTGTCACCAAGAGTCGCATTCGTTGGATGTAAAGAGGTGAAGATTGTAATCCGAGACCCAAAACTGATCGAAGTTGCCCAGTTGCAAAGCCGCTTTGTGTTCGGCTAGTGGTTTGTGTGGTCACTCTCTTAGCAAATGATTGACCATGGTGTAAACGAGGTGCGACCTACTTTGTTCAGCACCTTCTTCAGCCTCTGCTGTTCGTTGAGTGGGCAGAGAATGGTAGATCATGTCCAACTCAATGTTTGCTTCGTCGTCACTCGCTTCCGTCTCTGCGCGGACTGCCGCAACCAGCCTGCAAAACGCATTGCTATTTGTCTCTTTGTGTAAGTAGGAAAATCAGAGTCCGAGGCTCCGACTATGGCTGGCTTATTACTGTCACAGCACTACAATATAAAAGGCCGTCTTTGAAACATCACAAGCGGGAAGTGACATATCATGATTGTTGTGAGCAGGTGCTCTTGGGAGAAGGAAAGAATCTTTTTTGAACTCAGTTGTCCCACCTCAGGCTATGGGGACAGGAAATCTGCATATCTAGATCTCTAATCACCCTGTACTTGTCAAGCAAAACAGGTTTGAAAACGCATCTTCTGGGCTCCCATCCATGTTAACAAGGCAACTGTCACTGTGGTTCTCGAGTTGGTATCTCAACTGAAAAAGCTTTCCCCGTCAAGTACCCTGCTTGCAAGGCAAACGATGTCGGCAACTATTCGACATGCAGATGCCTATGCATTTTCATTCACACTTCATCTGATCCGAAGCAGACTTGCAAGGCGCTGTCTTGACACTTTACCTTTTTGCTGCTTCCAGCAAAGGCTCGATGCGAACAGGCCCTTCCCCAAACCACCCGGATACCATGGCAATGTAAAAGGCAAACTGGAGCACCACAATGTTGGGCCCGAGGGGAATTCCTCTTTCCAGGAAGCGAAGATTGAGCCCCAACACTCTGTTCGCCGGCCCCACACCTCCAAGCTCGCCCACCTCTGCTAGAAACTTTTCGAACGGATTGCGCTCGAACAAGCGCCGTTCCAGCAAAGAAGCCGCTCCTGTCAAAGCAATCGTAAGATACCCCAGCCGCTTTGCCACTTCATCGAGGATTTCCCCACTCCGCGATGCGCTCTCCATAATCAGCTCCCGTTTCAGCAGCGCCTGCGCCTCGTCCCTACCAAGACTTTCTACAGCCACTGGCACCGCCCCATGTTGCCGCAGAGCCAGATCGTCCGCAGTCGTGACGAGCACGTGGCACGCCTGGCGCTCTCCTGGCAACAACGCCTGCAGCTCCGACAGGGTTTCCCCACCAGCCCCGTCAAAAACCAGAAGGAAAGGCTCCGTTTGATTCTCCAGCGTCAGCCTGACCCGCTTCACGTAGTCCTCTAGTTGCTCGCCGGGACCTTGGGTCAACCCCAAGACATCCCCCCCTGAAGCCGCGTAGCCCCCCTGCGCCCCTTTGCGTTGGACGTCGACCCACAGCACCTTCCCGTACCGGCTCAGATTTTCGTGGGAGTACTTGCACGCCAGCTCTGTCTTCCCAATGCCCTCGATCCCCCAGAGGCACACAATTATACGGGAGCCTGCGCTGGTCTCTGCACCCCCCCACAGCGCGTCGGACATCTCCTTAAGGACCTCCTCCCGCCCCACAAAAAAAGGGCCCACCTCCGGCACATTGTGCTTGGCTGCGGTTGCTTCCGGTCTGCTTGACTGCAAAAGCGCTAGTACCGAAATTAACATTTCAACATTGTCACAGGTCGCTTCCAGCGGAAAGTTGGCCCTCACCTCCTTCAAACTGCCCAGCTTTCCCTTCAGCTCCGCCTCATAGGGCGCCGCAAGGAAGAAGCGGTTGCCCCAGCCCTTCCCTTTGATCGTCTGTGCGATTAGATCTGCCTCCACCATGGTCTTCTTCAACTCTAGCAGCGAGGCCGCTCCTTGCGGCACGCTCCCAAGGACCCTGTCCAAATCCTGCTCCTGGAACCACCTAAGCATTTTTGCCAATTTCCTAGGCACGGCCGAGTGGTTGTGAACGTGCTCCAGCACCGACTTGGCCATCTGCGCTACAATCCCAACATAGGGCACCGCGGTCAGGCCATTCAGCACCCCCGTCAACGCACTGGCAAATGCCTTGTCAAAGGAGTCCTTGTTGTTTTCCACTGCCTTCCGGAGATCCTCCAGCTTGCCTGCAACAAATGCGGCTGCGTCGGCTGCAGCTTCTGCCTTCCCCAATGCGTCCAAGGGGGTTTCGGACACAGCAGTTCCGTCTTCATTGCTGACGGACGCCTCCCCCTGCCTGGTTGCCATGACTGGGGACGCGATTGAGGGATTGGAATGGCCAGAGAAACAGGCCCTACGGAGGCCCTAGCATCGCTTAATCAGCGGAATCCAATGTCTGAGGTTGAGAGCTAGGGCAGACCTGCTGAATGACGAAAGGCCATCAGCATTGCTGCCCGCAATATCCTATCAATGCGGTGACCCCCAATCAGCGGAGTCTTGGATCCTGCAAGTCCAAAGATTCACAGTCAGGACTGGCAGAGGATGCTTTGCAGAAGCGTCGAAGTGCAAGGCATGATCAGAGGTGCTTCTTGTATGCTGTGCAGGTATAACTCTACAGAATGGGATTTATGCAGGATCATGAGAGCTCCCTTGCTGCTGTACCATAGGGAGGCGCCATCTGGAATCGCAAAGACAAGTGCATACTAGAAGCTTGGAGCTATTGGCCTGCAAAGGTGTGAAATGGTCACAAGTTCTTCATCAGCAAGCAGCTGCTTAAAGATGTGACATTCCGGTCCATTATTAGCAAACGCCAGGGGCACAACATACTGTAAGAGCGGCAAGTGAGGTCCTTATGCTGCAACTCACCTTGCCTGTCCCACCAGCTGGGAGGAGTCTGAGGCACGTGCGCATACAGGAACTGTATTCTTCCACCCTTCTCTGTTGGCTCGCCCAAGCACGGCGCTTGCAGCAGCCCTGCTAAGCTACCAGGTAGAATCAACCGCACGATGATGCTTGCATTATTGGAAAACCTGAACCTGAACCTGAATAGCTAGAGCACAGCCACAGAACAGTACCGTCCTGGTCCGTCACTTAGCTAAGTCAAGTCTAGGTACGGTACTCTAGAGTCCAGACTGGACTCTGACTCTTGAGTCTGAGTCAGGGCCTTGATGAATAATAAGTACCTACCGGTATGACAACACAACCTAAGCTTATGACAACACTACCTAAGTTCTAGCCTCTAGGCCCCACTGGCACTGCCCAGGCCCCGCGAAAAACCCGTACGTCTGGTTCCACGGTCAACGCGATGCTGGTGGAGCTTTTCCTGGTCACTTGCTTGCGTTTTACCGGTACCACCGCCAAGAATTAACCCGGTGGTTTTCCCCCGAGCACAAGCGCAAAAGTACCCAGGTTTGACCAAAGAATTTCTGGGGGATCCCGAGTGACAAGTGGCGGCTGCTTGAATTCTGCACGGCTGCTCCCCTTCTCCCAAAAAATGTCTCCTGCTTCAACAGGAAACTGCTGTGCACTTTACTGCAAGATGCGCCCTGTGCGAATCTGAAGGGAGTGTGCAGGAACACCTGCATATGTCTGGGGCAGACCTCCTCCCAGGTGATATTACCAAGGCTCCCAGGTTCTTTGAGCTAGTACTTCAGCAAATCTGGGGGAGGACTCCAGATCAAGAGCGGTCTCCTACAGCTTAGGGAAAGTTGAGGGAAAGCCCAAGCTTTGAGACGTAAAAGTCGAGGCGAGCAAGGCAAACGGCTTGAACAGAGGTGGCTTCAGCACCAGATTTTGGAGTCTGCCTTTAAAAAGCTCTTCTTTCAAAGTTGAGGTTCATTCCCCGTGAACCTGAGCATCTAGAATACAGTTCAATCTGCCAAAGCGCAACGTTCCTTTCCCTCTGCCACAGGTCTAGCTGCTTTTCTGCTTACGAGGCGGGTTTTGTGCAGTGACTCCAGCCCCGAAGCCATCATGAATGGCGCCTATGTTTCCAATGGGAACCAAGGGACCTATGGGCCTAACAGCAAGTTCCATGACGACGGCCTTCCAAATCCTGCTGTGCGCCAATACAAGAGGGAGAAGAGGGGGTGGTGCTCCTGTAGAGGCTTGTGTTGTTCTCTCTGCATCCTTCTCTTTCTCATCATCCTAGCTCTCGGCATCTTAGCACTTGTCGGCTACCTTGTGTTGAAGCCAAAGTCCCCATCGTACAGCATAACCAGCGCCTCAGTGCAAGATTTCTCAGTAGCGCAAGGAAACAGTAGCACAGACGGGAATGCCACGCTCTTCCTGACCTCAAGCTTAGCTCTCAATCTGCTCACTAAGAACCCCAATCGGCTAGAGATCAACGTGAAGAATAGCACAGTAGACCTCTTCTTCCAAACAAGACAGATCGGCCAAGCGTTCATCCCCGCATTTACACAAGGCAAGAACTCAGAGAAGAATGTGACCATAAGCGCCTCCATAGCCAACGTGGATCTACTGAGCGAGTCCAGCAACTTCTTGGCAGGTAAAACTCCTGGCTCTTGGTCTTGTTGCACCTTCCAGATTCTTGTTATTGCACCAGAAGGTGACTCGTTGTTTGTCACCTAGCTAGCTCCATCTAAGCTAGCATGGCTGTTCTGCGTGATTTCCCCACTCCCAGATCCAGAAGCCAGCACCGCAGCTCCCCATCAATTGGCCACAAGCATGATTGAGGTGCTTGCATCCCAGCTTCTGTAGTGCTTTTGAGGTGACAATATGGAAGCAACAAATGAATGTAGGTTTTGGCTGGATGTTTACCTTTCCATCAACTTTATTTGCAGCGTACAACAACGGTTCAGTGCCGCTAGCAACCAACAGTGTTATCAAGGGGAACGTGAAGATCTGGGGCATCACCTCACCCCCTTTCCAGGTGAGTGACGCCCCTTCAAGGTTGATTGGTCTCTATCTCCGGATTGGTCTCTAGTTGAAAGATCTCATACGCACAAGAGCATAAGGCACTGGCCCAGTTACATCGTACGGGGTCCTGTAGGACCCCACAAAAGATGGGCCTCTCGTAAAACTCCTGTCAATGCAGTGGACTTTTCACATTCGCTCTCCATTACCTGCTGGTGTTGGTCACTGGGAATAAGCACTATGCCAAGTGAGCAACCTCACGTTTTATGTACAGATACAAGTCCAGATGAGTGTTGTAGTGTCATAGCTCTGTTGCATACAGGACCATAAGAGCCGCTGTGCATATAAAGCAAGAGTCTAAGCTCTAACAAAGTACTGGTTTCGAGCGCAATCATTGAAGTGTCAAAGTTGTGGCTGACACATCTCCTTGTCCAACTGCTGCAGGGTACCCTGAAGTGCACTTTGAGCATCGACCCCAGCACACGGCAGCTTCTCAGCAAGAGCTGCTCAGTATCAAATGTAAAGCTAGCCTAAATTGCAAGCGCTATCTAGATTTTTAATCTTTTAAGCTCGTGTGCACACGAGAACACAAACATCTGATCGGACAGAAATGCTGTCGAGAACCTAGTGAACAGTCAGGTATAACGGGTGTAAGAATCCTGAAATCAGTGATTGCATGCAAGCCTTAAAACGTAAAGTTAGAACTTGTAACAAATATTAATTAAGTGAAGATTAGTAGAGGCTGCGCACTGAGGTTAACAGCTATAAGTTAGGCATGAGAAAGTCAAGGACGATTGTCCGACATGAGTTTGTTGAATAGTGGACTAATTCAGAAACTGAGTGACTGTCTCTTAATACTTACTTTACATACGAGTATACCGTCGTCCCGTTCGATACGTACCGTAGTCCAAGGTAATGATTCCGAATAAATAAATAATTATCTGCATTCGGAAAGTCAGATATTCGGAATTCTCGTTCGGAAAGTGAAAATTCGGAAAGGTTAAATAATTCTAGAATGGTCCTCGGAAGCCCCAAAACGGCCAAAATGGCCCTTAAAAATCCCCTTCTTACGGGGAACATAGGGCATTCGGATTGTTGTCGGAATCTGCATAAATAATTCCGCTTTCCTGGTCGGATTGTTGGAAAATAATTCGAAATAAAATCGTTCGGAATCATCACGTTGGACTACGGTAGCTAGCTGGGGCAAGTTTGCCTGAGCATACTAAAGCTCTTGCATGCGGATCTAGTAAGTTGCAATTGGAATCATGATCCAAACATAAATCTGCTTGACCATCGGATGATACCGTGAGTCATGCACGGTCTAGCTTCAGTCAGAACCCTTTAGCATGATCCGATCCGACCTTTTTCAATAACACAACAGCTTGAAGCTCTGCTATAAGTGCTGCTAGCATATATCTTAGTACGTTTCAATCATTTCCCAATCATGCCGCCGCGCCCAAATGAACGCCGGACGAGGCGTACTGCGAAACGTTCAATCTGGTGATCAATTAATGCCTTGTCCAAACAAAGAAAGAAGTAATTGGAAAGCCTGGCGTGTCATTTGCGAGAGCGAGAGACAATGAGTCAACATTTATACCATTCACGCCTGCATGGACGTCCATGCAGCGAACTCCGTTGCTAAGTCCTAATTGTGACGTGGTTTAATTATAGTATCTTGGGGCCAAGAAATCTCTGGAAGTTCGAGTTTCAATGATATGACAATAAGTTTCGCAATAAGATCGTACGATCTGCTCCGGCTAGTGCCACATGTGCGCCATCGGAAATTCAGTCACGACTCGATCCGGCCGCCTGAATCAGTACATGATCACTTCAGTCAGAGCTGTGCATTCGCAAGATTTGCCTGACTCGTGCTAGGCGTACCCGCCTCACCAATTGGTTCGGTTGAAATCGTCAGCCTTAATTTATCAACTGCGCAGCTTCAACCTGGCATCATGGACACATCTATTCCATCGCGAGTCCCAATCGCATCGTGGTCGGCGATCGTTAATGCCAACTTGGCAGTCGTGTACATGGCATGGTTGTGGGTCTGCAAAAAGGAAATCATTCAGGGGTGTACTGATTTTGACATGACGACTGGTCGGGATCCCAGACATGATCGCTGGAGCTTGAACAAGCGCCGATACTTTTATCAACATAGTTGCTTGCACAATAAAAGACGAAAGAGACTGGAGAGCTCGTCTCCACTTTTCAGGCGGCCCGTACCCCCCGCAGAGGCTCATTGAGGCGTTCCGTTTTTAGAACAGCGGGTAACTGCCCGGAAACCGTATCCTGAGCCAGCTTCTCTCGTAGTTCGCCCATTGCGGCCATCCCAGAAGGTCGTACAGCTCCGCCCGGGCCTCGTAGGCTGACCGCTCGGTGGCCTTGCTGTCGTCATCAATCGCCTTGTTCAGGGCCTGCATTCGTGGAAGTCAAGTAACTATGAGACAAAGAGGATCGCTGGCGTCTTTTAGACCGTCATGCACTTCGGTGAGAAATTTGGGTGGTTGCTTTGACAACGCCCTTGCATGTCAGCAAACATGAACTGGCGCAATCTAAACGTGGTTCTCGTCGTTCAGAAACGCGCGTGATGCGCGAATAGCAAGCTTTTCCATGGGAAGAAGCAAACAGGTTGCCTATTTGACGAGTCAAGCAGACTGCAGGAGTCTGGAAAAGCGTGGGATAACCCGTCGAGCTCGATACCCCTCTAAAAGATATCGAGCCTCCTTGCTAAGTGCCAACATTCCATAACGAAAGGACACGTTGCCACTTCTAAGCAACATTAGGGGTTCAAGTCCTAAAGCTCTAGGATAGGATGGTCGTGCAGTGATAGTTGAAAGAGAAGGCGTAACTGGCTCCAATTGAGACTGTGCAGTAAGTACACCGACTAGCAGACCTCCGAAACCCTAGGCTTTTTGAGCGAATCGCCAAGCAACCCTGAGCGAAACCCAAAAGCAAACCCAAGCAAATCAAGCGAAATTCAGAAGCAAACCCAAAGCAAGCCCTAAGCAAAACCCTAAGCGACTCCAACGCAAAGCCCAAGCGTAACACGTCATCCCAGGGCTTCAGAGCGCCCATCTGGAGCGCTTGTTGCAGGCCCCCCGCACGTTTTTGGTTCGGAAACCTCTGACAGCTGGCAGAACTCCTAAACGTAAGCAGATTTTTATTCGAAAGTTGGCACAACTGGGGCTCTGATACTGTACAACTCTAGCTACAAGAAACTGTAGCTGCAAAATTGTGGCTGCAAATATTTCAAAATATCGTAGAAAGCCCACCTTGAGTGCGTGGCCCAGCCGCCCCGCGCGCTTCTCGCGCTTGTACACCAGCATGCCGTGCTTGGCCAAACTCGTGTCCACCCATTTCCGCAGCTCGCGGAAGTTCTCCTCGAACGCATCGGCTTCCGCTTGCGTTCCGGTTCCGCTCCCCACTTCCATTTTCGCCTCGGCCTCCTTGGCCGGCTTTTTCGACGTCTTCGAGAGCCCCTCGACTTCAGCGGACGCAGCTGTCGTGTCCGTTTGCGTATTGGACAGCGCAGGTATTGATTCGGACGCTTCGGGCGTCTTGTCCTCAAATTTGGTAGGTCCGTGCACCGATTGCTCGGACGGCTTGGCTTTCTTCTTCTTGGAGGCAGCCTGGAGAAAAAGCCAAGTTTTTGCTGCTCAGGAATCGAGAAGCTGTCAGGCGAAGAGTTTACAAACTTCCTGACGTCACCGAAGAGTCAGCTTGCGCAGAAATGTTCCAACCCCTGAACGAAGGACATGGGGAGCGGACCTGAGCGAACCTGAAAAGCTTCGCTTACGGTTCAAGGTGGTGTGAAAGTTCAAACCATGTTGCCCTGTATATTTCTACATCCATTTGACGACATCGAAAGAGATACATAGGGAGACAATGATCAAAAATTTTATGAACAAACCGTCCTCTTTTGTTGGCAGGCCACTCCAAATCTTCTAGTAAGGGAACTATACTGAAGAACGAAAGCCCAAACATCCACTTTCTCTGCAAAGAAGAAGAGGGTTCATCAATCTTATGGTTCTTGCGCCAGCAATGATACGCTAAGAGCTACAAAACGGTTCGGACTCCTTATACATTGAACCCGCAGTCTGCCTCGGCCGACTTTGCTTCCTCAAGAAGTCGTAAGCGGCGGGGCTCACCTCGTCCTTCTCGGGTTCCTCCAGCTCCGCCAGCGCGAGCCCCTTTCTAGTTAAAGCGTCCACCAAGATGTCGCGATTACTCTCGTGCTCTTTCTTCAACTGCAGTGGAGCAAAATCGGTATTGATATAGTGCTGGTCGCCAAAGTTGAGCTGAGAAGCGAAATGCGGATTCATGCGCGTTCGTTTCGGATTCGTCAAGCGATAGGTTTTTCCAACTCCGGTTACAAAATCCAGGCAATATTACGGCAGCATCCAGTCTATTATCTAGTGAAGGGCGGCACAAAACTCAGCCAGCCATGGGCCAACTACTTACGATACTGTCCGAACGTTCCCCATTTAAGCGGCCTTGTTTTCAGTTGGGACCTACTACAGCACAATCGGGTCAAACAGAGCAGAAAATGGATAACCATCCCTTTTGGCGGATCGCAGCCTAGAGGCTGACACCATTTGAAAGCAGTGCCAAAAAACTAGCCCCTGATTACAAAGTCGTAGGCGATGAGAACGCCGCTTCTCTATCCGCTGTGGTTGCGCGGCCCTCACCTTGGCAGCGTCTTCTCCCTCGGGCTCGCTCTTCTGCGCGAACCAGTCCGCCAGCACCTTGGTGTCAATGAGGCTGATCACCTTGTCAGCCGCCGCAACAACCTGCGGTGACGAGAAGGTCGTGATTGAGTAAACCGATAAGTAAACAAGAGACTTTTATCATTATTTGGACACGCGGCTCCCGGATCGATGCTGGTAACGCAACTGTTCAGAGGGCCTCTGGCGAAGAAGAATTGACGTTCAACCAAGAAGTTTGGAGACGACCGAACTGCGGAGCGCCTCCAAACCGCTAGGTTCAAAACCGCTTCGTTCGACGACTTGTCGAAGGCTTCGCTTTAACTTACCGATGCTACGACTTCCAGCATCTCATCACAGACTCAGAGAGTCGATAATTGATTTCCGTCATCACAGATCAGAGAACTAATATCTGAGAGTTTGGCAAACGATCCAATCACTAGCAGGAAAAGCGTCCGCACCTCAGGCAGAACTGCGCGCCGCTTCTCCTTGGTTCCGTCCACCTTGTGGAGCAGCTCCACAAACAAGGGCACGTGGCTCGGGTATTCCGCCTGCGGAACAAAGTGACGTCAAAACGGGGGGGTTTACTGGCCTGCTAGGATCGGAACGATTTGACAGTTCCTGATTTGACAGCGTGAAACGGAGGGATTACTGACGTGCCAGTGTCGTCTGGAGATGCGGGTCTGCTGTGAGGCGTGCGCTTCCATACCTGACAGCCTCTAGCGTTTTACGTTTCTATATACTACTCAAGATTCTGCTGCATTCCTCCTGCAAAAGATGCCGAACTTCGAGCGAATCTTCAACCACATAGCCCATCAGGAACCGACCACTGAGTCTCGCAGAGCCGTCTCACGAAATGGTTTCAGAACGAATATGGTCAGAAGGTGGGCAGAACGTGTTATTTTGAAAGGCTGTGCGCGTTTTGGCTCCTGAAAAAGGGTATTCCAGGAATCTACGCTGGCTCGTCACGCAGTGTAGTTTGGCAAGCACAAGAACGCAATTGTTCAGATCAGCGAAGCCTTACACAACTGCGGTTAAATTGCGTATCCACCTAAAACGCTGAAACCCGTAACCTTGAAATCCTCAAAACCCAGAATCGGGAAACCCTGAAACCCCAAAAGCCCAACCTTAAGGTCCTTGGCCAGCTGCTCAAACTCCGCGCGCTCCTCATCCGTCGACGTTGGCAGCCCCGTCAGCACCTTCAGCTTGACGTCACGCAACTGCGAGTGCCAAGGTGCACGTTCAGATTTATAAACCAGAAATTTATGCCCTCTCTTTCTAGCCCTTCGCATGTAACTGAAGGTGCAAAGAGGTTCATGTACGACCTCTTCTCAGGGTTGACGGGTTGAAGGTCACTGAGTTGCCCTCAGATTACGCACAGGTCCTCCCGAGAGCTGCCACACTATAAACACAGAACTGTCCTAAGACCCTCGATAACGGCACCCTGTTGGTTTTTTCGTTCTGGGCTTGCGTCATAAAAGAGAAAGCAATCTGGCAAGGGTCGATTGATAGATTACCGGAGAACGTGACGACAAGTACTTCCTCGGAGAAAGCTTGAACACCTGCTGATGTGCGAGCTTTCAAGGGACTGGAATGAGCCACACAAATGCTCGGATGCACTCGTTGTGCCGTCAAACGCATGCAGCTGAAAGGGGGCGTCGGGTCCCCATAACCGGAGCGACGAAAATGCTCGTCAAACCGCCACGAGAAGGACGTACGGCTTTTGCCGGCCGCATCGAACTGGGGGCGGAACAGTGCCATCGGCATCTTGGGCCTGACAAGGGGCGTGTCGCGCACGCCACCTTAAAGGTACTTGCAGAGCTTCATATCCGGGTCGCACTGACGTCCGTCTCACCTCCTCTTGCATCTTCTCAGTGGCCGTCTTCTTGGCATCGTCCTTGCCCTTCTTGTCCTTGTCCTCCTGCAAGCACAGGCCCGACCAATTTCTTCCCCACACGAAACGAAGTTGTCGCTATTTATAGCTTTAGCAAATCAGGGTATAGAACGTCAGAGAAAGTCGATCTCACCGTCCCCGGCTTGCTCCCTGCATATGCAAGAGTATCTCGACTTCACGAACATTCCGAAAGCCCATCTTGACAGCTGGCGGCATAGGTCAAGTGATAACGAGGCTGCTCTGCAACCCAGCTTACTCCTGCTTCTATGACCTCTGTCTCCACTTATATAAGCTGCCCCCTCTTGTACATACATCACGATCCCTCACCTTGACAGCTGGCGGCACAATGTAGACGAGCTGGGAAGCTGCGGGGCAAGCCGCGCCGTTGTCCCCATTGGAAGACGAGAGCTTGCCGAAGGTGGCCCGGCCGCGGAGCAAGGTCCCGGGAGCAGCGTCCTGCAACAGGAAACATGGACAGATCATCAGAAATCTGAAGCAGCACGTGCAAGCAAGACCAGATCAACTTGAGGATTATTACGCGCTCATTTCAACGAGTAAGCGATTGAACTGTCTGTCTTTCAAAAATCCTCAGTAAGAGTCGGTAGACAAAAGCATGAGTTGTAAGTGTCTTCTTATCTAACGCAGTTACGCAAAGAAGGAAGCGAGCACCCCTAGCAGAGCGGAGTGGAGCCCGTAAGAAACAACAACAAAACGACGTACACAGCTGAGAATTCCCGAACTTGAAGGAGGCCCAATGGTCTGAAAGTGTGGCTGGAAGCAAGGCCAAGCGGTGGGACGATGGCCAGAAGAGGTACCTTGGGGAGTTTGTCAGCGGGAGGGGGGGCAAAGAAGACGGAGCGCATCTCCCTGCATAAGGAGAGGAGTGAAGCTAAGAAATGTCATATGAAGGACGCGAGCCCTTCCATCCACCTATCCCTGTTTAGTCCACTTTTTGCAGCGGATTAATACTAGCTTGGGTGGTCCTTCCAATTATGTCCATTTAGAGAAAGCAATGGCTTCGCTTTCTGGATGGCAGCGAGTCGCGTTTGGGATCATGAGTAACTTGTTGACGGCCGAGTACATGGAGAGAGGATTCACGTGTGGTCGGCGAACGTCCCCTTAAAGGCACATGTTGGTCCGCTCACCCGGATAGCATGGTCGCTGACGTCAGCTTCTTCGTGTTCGTGATGACGCCATCTAGGGATGAGTGGGTCGTCAGCTTGAGGGACGCCTGCAACCAGCAAATCAAGAGATTCAAGCGCCTTGAAGTGTTTGGATACTATTACAGGCTTAGTCGGCAATGCCGGCTCGTTATTTCCCGAACTTGAGCTTGCAATGCTTCGAAATCTGAATACAACTTCGTCACATCGTCCTCATCCGCGCATGGAAGGGATTAGTCCATGCTTCTCGGACTTGCTTCTGTGCATGAGCTCGAGACGCCCTTGAAGCATCACACATGCACTGCTCAGGGCTTCTTGAAACTCTCGTGCCGCTGCATTCGACGTTCTGCATCAGACGCATCCAAGGCCATCAGAGGCAAAGGCAGAACGTTTTGACGGAGGGAGCAAGGCTTACTTTGTCTTCGAGCGTCCTTTCAAGCCGCAAGACCAATCCCTTCAGCTTCTCTAGGTACCCAACGTTGTCGTGCCTGCACCAGATCAACCTCCGTTTGGACCCCGACCTATGCTGATATTGCCGTAATCCAGTTCCTCGGATCCCAATCACATGACCATTGTTCTGAAAGCGGAAGGGAGAGTGCAGAGGGCCGTCGGTTATCTTTTGCTCCAAGTCAACGTCTCCGGCCGGCCGTGATCGGTGTTTGCAGCGCTTACCGTATCCTGTACCGGATGGTGTGTTCGCCCTTGGTTAGCTTAACCTCTTTTGGGTACACGTCACCAACGGCCAGCAGCTTCTGCACACACAGGACGGTGCCTCGTCAACCCGGGTGCTGGAACAACTTGGTACAGAAGTCCGTCTTGCTGACTGTCAAAGTAAGTCAAGGAGACCCAAAAACTTCAAGCAGAATCCCACCGACAGTTTTGCCTTCCACACTTGGGGCCCAAGGTGGCTACTGAAAGCCTACGTTGCATTTGTGCTAAAACTGAGGATCGCTTTTCCTCTGGCAATTTTCAAAAGACCTTTCTTATTTCTTGGCATGCTTTGCCAAATGCGATGTCGTTATTCAACTTTAGGAAGGGAGTCGTCCGAATCGGTTTCTGCAGAGCAAAAAGGAAAAGGATCGCACAGCATAAGCTATGGCGGCGACCCATACCTTATTGGCGTCGTGAACCATGTAGAGCTGCGACTCCAGCTCGCTGTCGTACACCCGGTTGTTGAGGACTGGCAGTCGGGGCGTGTACTTGCCGGCTTCGCTAACTGTAAACTTGTAGCTGGGGGAAAATCAGAGCGATGACGTCAGCAGAAAAGGGGGTTTGGCCGGAAGATCAACCTGCCCGCTTCTCTGACCTTACTGTAATGGAGGAGCGGAAAGCGACAACGTCGGCAAATTGTCCATTTGACACCCTGCAACTTCAGCAGTTTCCATCAGATTGGCAACAACATGACGACGCCCCGAAAGGGGCAATTCCATTAGTTCAGGATCCAGCTGTCTGCTTTCAAATCTGTAGCATGCGAAAGCAATAACCAGGCAAGCCCAGCAAAGTGATTTACTAAAGATCCAAGACTTACGTCAGGTGGAGTGCGTGGATCTGGCGCCCATCTGGCAGCTCGTCGCGTTTGGGGGAGAGCGCCTCGATCTTGGCTTCAGTCGGCGCTAGAGGTATTTGCAACTGCAGCAGTCGGGACCAACAGTAGCAGCTTTAGTCCGACGCCGGTTCTAGAAAGCAAACAAAATCCTGTTCGTATCTTCGAAACGGAAAGAGCAACTTAAAGACTGATAAGGGCATCCGGTGCAGGAGGCAATCTCAGACGGAACCTACACCGAGAATCGGATGTAACAAATCTGTTTTCTGATAAAGTCTCGACTGGTTCAAGGTTTCTTCGACCACAAGCAGACTTGGACACTTTGTCCAGTCTGGGTGTCCACGGCTCCACCTCTTACTGTGATCTGCAAGAAGGAATTCAGGATACGGGCCGAAGTATATGGGCCGACTCAAGATCTTGAACATTGTAACCATCGGCAAAGCACCCATCTCCTGCCTGGACCCACAGGGTGGTATCACAACTGAGGTTGCCCAGAATGATAAGACTTGAGGGAAGTATGCTTACACGATTGAGCACGCCGTTGGGTGCAAGCCGCTCCGTCCCGAAAGCGGACCTGACGTTGACACGGACCGTGCCGGTGGCTCCGTCTAAATGAATGGCGCCGCTGCTGGCCTTGAGGCCGTGGAACTCAACCTGCGTTTGCAGAAAGAAACTTTGCCATCAACTCAGGGTTGTCCGTTACAAAGGCCGTGGATTTTCAGCGCCAGTCAGTGTCAGATCTGGGCTCGGAAGTTGCAGCAGAATAATGTGAACGCAAGCTTCTGGCAACCGAGGGACAAGCCGATATTGTTTCCATCCCTATCTGACAATACTTCAGGTGCATCTGCGTACGCCGTGACTAGTTCACTTGGACAATATTATCTTCTTCGCCTTTGTACATGCGTCCATCGTTTTCGATGCTCGAAGACCACTGCTAAAAATCCCCATACAACCTTTGCAGACTTGTATCTTCCTGGAAGCCAACACTGAATTTCGGCAACCCTATATATCCAGAATAATAACCCAGAATTCCTTACGGATAGATTACCCACCTCGAGGTCTATGTTGCAGGGCTGCTCGGTGCCGCTTGCGCTGGACCAGAAGTGCGCGAGCGTTACCTCCAGCGTCTTCGATTCTTGCACCTCGATCGCGACTTGCTTGGTGGAGTGCGAATTGAACGTCAGGTACGTGCGCAGCTCGTGGCTCGTGTGCCGCTCCTGGGGCAGCAACTGTGCGCAGCGGAAAATGTTTTCCGGTATTGAATTGTGGATTTTGACCTTCTCTTCACTCGGCATGAGACGAAAGGGAGTTACGGAAGAAGAGGTGTCTGCCAAAAACTCCGTCGGTCACAAACGCGGAATTGGTCTCCAAAAGGCAGAGGCGCAGCGGGAGCAACGGCAGATCGTCCGTTGTCTTCTTTCTGTGTAATCTCTCTTTTGTTCTCTTGTTTTTTTCCCCCCCCTTGACGTGCAACCAAGAAACGAGAGGTTCTGGTTCTTGACCTTCTAGATCGCGAGGAGGGATTATGCATCAATCAACATAAATAAAATGAGCTTCTTGGGCAGGGAATTCAGTCCCAGATTCAGCTAGTCTGACAACGCCGAGACGTACTGAACTTTCACGGTGACTGACCGAAGTCCAGCCTCTTCCCTCTTCTCCACCAGCGTAGTCTCGATGAACTGTGCTGAAAGGTCTCATCATTCGAGCAGAGTTTTTCGGACGGCGTGCTCAGTCCAATAAGTCGCAAAGATGTCCGAAGAGACTGCCGGGCAAAAGTCTCAAGGAATGAGTTCTGGCACCATTCCGACCAGCAAATCAGACCTTGGTGGGGCTCACCTGCAGCGTGTGCAGCACTAGCTGACGTGGTGTGTCCAGGTCCCCCGAGCGCATCGTGAGCTCCGCCCACGTGGCACCCGTTGGCACCGCGATAAAGTGTCGCTTGATGTCACCTGCAGCGACATACGAGATGAGGTGGGAAGGACTTGGTCGAAACAAAAGTGCTGTCTGAACTGGGTTCGACAATGTGGAATTCTGTTCCGTGTCCGTCGGTGTCTCTATCGACTGAGAGCAACTTATGTGGGTTTCATTAACAGATCCAAGCAAAGATGCCCTCCCAATGTCACCTTTGGTTCCTGGGGTGAAAGCAGAGCACAGAGGGGGCAGGGTGTGGCAGGCCGTGCTTGTTCTCATTTTAAGTGGATGCCGTTTCACTTTGCTCCGGCAAAAGAGGCAAGACCCGATGCAGCCATTCCTTCCTTCCATGCGCTGCTTAGCTCACGTCGTGTATCGTATCTTGATATAATCTGCCCAGTACCGGCCAGGACAGCGTCGAAAACCGCAAAATAGCAACTGACACCTTAACTTCCCCGGCCCGGAATCCTACCTGGCAAAAACTTGAGGCCGTTGAAAGTAGCCACCTGCGCTGCCCCCTGTGGCAGCACGGTTGGCTTAATGACAGTGACGGGGATGCGGAAAACGGGGCCCCGCCACGGCCGGCTCATGTCAGTGCCGGTCACCTCTGCGAAGTGGAGGCCCTGTGGCAGGCCGCTCGGATCAACGCGTATACTGCACGGAGAAGGAGACGGCGAGGGGGTTGCTACAAGGACCTCCAACCGAAACTTTGAACTACGTGTCCATTTTGAAAGACAGGTCGTCGTTTGCTTAAAAATATGCCAGAATCTGCATGAACGGACTTGGACATACGGGCTTCACAACCCTTGAATCCCGGTTACGAAGTCAAGCCACGCAGTCGGGCTCTTCCGCGGTTCGTTGAATCAGCGCATCTGTACTTGGACAGGTTTTAAGCAGATTTGCTGTGGGTTCCGCCCTGAAAACAACTCTGCTGCTTAGCCCACATTCTGAGCGTGGCAACGGAAGTGCGTAGGCAAAGTCCAGCCGAAGTCACGGCGCAGTAACGAACCCAGCTTTAGCTGACACAAGTCCATCCGTCACAACCAAGAAGAAACGTTTGAAAGTCTTCGGACACAAATGCGAGGGTTCGGTGCCTCGGTCGAGTAGACTTGTCTTGAGCACATTCAGTGTGGCGGGCGTTACCAGAAGTTGCGGCCGTTGTGCGGCAGGAGCACGTTTTCGGGCGCTTGGACCCAGTCGGGCGCCGTGCTGTCCAGCTTGATGCGCTCCTCGAAAGCGGCTCGGACGTCCAGATTGTCCGCGTCTTCGTGAAAGTGGGGCGAGACTATCACGCGGAACTGCAATCATGGAAGCTTGCAGGTTCAACGTTTTACGCAGAGTATGGAAACAGATCTAGGGCCAGTGACATTAAGTGCAACGATGCGCTCCTCGAACGCGGCACGAACGTCCAGATTGCCCGCTTCCTGATGGGGGGGGAGTAGTACTCGGAACTGCAAGTTTGTAGTTTCAAAGTTTTAATGGAACTTTTGAGTTCCTTGCTTCTGGATTTCTAGTGTTGTAAGTGCAATTGCTGAATTGATACAGTGTCATGGGCTCCGTCAAAGCAACGCGGATTGTCCGCGTCCTCGTGAAAGTGGGGAGAGACCGTCACCCGGAACTGCATTGATGAAATTTGACGGTAAGGTCTTAGTGGGACTTTCTTGCTTGTGGATCTATGGTGTTGAAAGTGCCATTGGTAGAGTGATGCAGTGTGAACGCGCTCCGCCAAAGGGACACGGACATTCAGACTGTTGGCCTCCTCGTGAAAATGTGGGGAGATCGTCAGTTGGAACTCAAGATGCGCCGGGGCGAAACATGGAGAGTTCGTGGAATGAAGGAAGTAGGAGGTAGAGCAGCAGTTCCAGAAATCAAGGAGGGCTGTTTCCAGAAAGCGAAACGCATCCTGGGATCTCCCTCAAAGCAGAGACCTCTGGCGATAATCTGACACAGTTGTTGTCTTCTCTACATCAAACATGAACCTCTCCAAAGCTGAGGGCCTTTGGCGACAGTCAAGACGTACCTCACAACCAATCTAAAAACTCAGTTTGGATATCAAAAGAAAGAAGCCCGCACCTCGACGGGGCTCATCGGGTCGGGCAGGTCACGCAGGTAGACGCCACGTGTTGCGGGGGCGGAGCTGCTGGTGCGCGAGACCTCCACGACGTAGCGCACGTCAGGCAAGTTCGCGCATTTTTCCAAGTACTTGACAGCCCTGCGGGAAGTTGACGTTTTGTGAGCGACTTGGAAATCTGTTCTGCATCCTTGGCGTTACATGGCCATAGTGAGATACAAGTCATCGAAGGCTTTCTTTGGTGCGTCAGGCAAGAATGGGCACCGACGAGAGATCAAAAGTCGCCTCGAGCCAGTCTTGCTCGAGGCAAAGCAAACGAAGCGATCCCTCCCGTTTGCAGAAGCTTTCTTTGCTGTCTCGCTTTGGCGCACAGGAAACGAAGGAAAAGGGAATCAATACTAGGTAAACGTGTCCTCACGGGCTAGTTGGTCAACATGCCAGCGCGGACGGTTTATTCTCCATTGACCAGATGCGTCTCACAAGCAATCAGACAACCGACGATGGCCATGCTGAGCTTGAAAGAACAAGTTCCTGAAAACGAGTTGCCTTGTAAGGAGAATAGACGCAAGAGTGTTTTTGGGCAGCTCACTTGTCAACTTGGAGCAGGCCTCGGCCGTGGGTCAGCGCGTCGTGGGGAGAAGTGCCCAATGACGCCGCGCTGTTTTCCAGGGCCGTTCGCACCAAATTAGGCCGCGAAGAAAGGCCCTGGGCCTGCATACGGAAGAGCAGTACGTGAGGGAAGCAAGGAAGGGGAGTGTTCAGATCAAGCAACAACGTTTCAGGTGAGCAGAAGATACTTTGATAAGCAAGCAAGGGCTTCTGAAAGGGAACAACGCAGCTGAGTTTGGGAGAAGATGATGACACCGATCTTTGAAGTCGAAAACATGGATTTCGTTCTCGAAATGGCGATCAAGGAACGGAAGAATCTGACGCCATCGACATTCATCGTACGGATACTGGATTTCTTGTCTTCTGCAACCAGCTCCGATGTTGCGAACGTTCCTCTACGAGCTTCACTCAGTCGCCGAACGGAGTGCAAGTACTCGCGAAAGCAGTTTCTCACCTTCAAAGCGCTCAGCACGAGCGCGATCCCCCCGCATGCGCACGGCGACGACATGGACGTTCCGTTCATGAGCTGCCGCTTCTGCAGCGTCCAGGCCGGAACCGGAGCCACCGCGCCCCCAGGTGCGCTCAGCCCCACGCCGAGATCGCCGTCAGGGGTCGGGCCACGACTTGACCTGCGGTTAAGCGTTGGGTTAACCACGCTTAGTAGAAGAGGTGGTTTTCTAAATGGAATCGAATTCAGCCTTTTGAGGGAAGCCCACCCCAGATTGCAAGGGCGTTTCGAGCAAAGGCCTGACCTTGCATACGGAGGGCGTTAGCTATAGCATACTTAGGGGGTTACCTCATTATGTTAAAATGAGGTCAAGCCACGCGTCCTATTCCAGACCGACAACCCAAAGCACCGCAGATCCTTGCGCGCTCACCCACACCAAGTGCGTCGCTGTCGCCGATCAAGGCCCCGATTGAACTGACTCACTACACCGGAAAGGATCCTCAGATGGGCCTTCAAAGGGCTCTGTTCAAACCAAGACCTCTGAAATTCTAAACCCTTCGGAAAGAAGGCAAACCAGCCGACTTCTTCCAGTCGTCAGCTAAATGGTTTGTTCACGCACCTCTTCGGATTCGCAAAAGCAGGAACTTGACGAGCACAAAACTTCGCAGCCTCCAATAGAACTGAACATTCAAGACTCTACAATCGCTTACCATGTGTACTGCAGCCCCTCGGATGGCGGGCTCACGAGCGAGTGTGCGCTCGCAGCCATGGCGGGCGACACGTACGCCCCGATCCCGATGATTGCGGAGGAGGTGCCACCTGGCGCACCGACAGTGGACAGCGCGGGCCCGTCGTTGCCAGCGCTGCTGACGAAGATGACGCCATGCTTGTGCACGATCTCGTTGGCCAGGGAGACGAAGCGGCCGACGTCGGGCGTGCTCGTGGGCTCGCCGTAGCTGAATGACGTCAGTGGAAACGTCAGCAGAGGTTCGGGCCGGGTCGGCGTGATGCAGTATGAATTGTGACGCAGAGCACCCCTTGCCGAGAGTACGTCCGCTTTTGCAGCAGTAGGAAGCTGAAATTCTGGGCTGGTTCAATGTATGTTTACGAGGGGAACGCCGGCTGACTACGCGCTTTCTCAGTTGCCTTTACGCCCTTTGCCTTATCCTATCTTCTTAGTGCCCTGACCTTTCCAGTTCTATCTTGCAACGGTAACAAGGTCTCCAGAGTCGCTTTTCATTCACCAGCTGGTGAGAGACAAGGCCTCGAAACCCAAAAGAGAGGCGGCTGCTAGCGAAAATATGAGAGTAAGCCAAAAGTCAATTTCAATTTCGAAATTGCATCTTCATAAAACGCTTTTTCCTGCGTCGGCCTCACCTCATATTGATGAGGTCGCACTTGTTCTCAATGACGGCGATCAGCGCGCGCGTGAGGCCCGTTCCAGTCTCCATGCTCCCCAGCCGCGTATCCCCGATCTTGCACGACACGATCTGAGCCCCGGGGGCCACGCCGTTCAGGTCGGGCTCCTGCGATGAAGTTAGATGGGGGTTAGTAGAAGGTTAGTGCACAATCTTATGTCCCTTGATAGAGACTTGCGAAGAAGGATGCATGAAGTTCGCCATTGGCTAAATTCTCTAAGACAGACAAGAACGACCAATCGCGATGAGACAAGCCCAAATCGAAACAAGGGTGAGTGATCGGGATATGCCCAATAGATCAAGGAAAGAAGAAAGAAGGTTGTCACGGTCAAGGGCTTTCGCTCAAGTTGGTCAATGGGTGGAAGACAGTGAAACGCCATTCTGGGAAGCAGTGAGGTAGGACTCGCAAAGAAAGACGACGGAGTGTTGCAGAGACGACGACGTTCGAAAAGAGAATACTGAGTGCAAGGCTTGATGGGTCGTTTTTGGGAGCCCGTATCACTCAAATTCGAAGGGTAGGAGATTCTTAATGAATAAGCGGCGAAGGTCTGAACACGCGCGAGTCGACGCGTAGGAGATTCATAAAGGATAAGCGGTGAATGTCTGAACATGCGCGCATGACCTCACCTCTGGATGGCAGGCCGCCGTGATTCCTGCAACGTGGGTACCTGCAAGAGGGTGGCGGAAGCTTGTCTCGGCTTACAGGGTATGTTAGGGGACGAAAACGACAAAAAGTTTCATTCTCGCTCGTGACAACACGTTCCAAGCAAAACTGTGTACGCATGCGAACGACATTTTGCCGCCAGAACTGTTGGTTAGCCATCCGTGAGGATGCCCCTCACCGTGCGGGCTAGAGTCCGTAACTAGACTGAGGACGTTCCCGTCGTCGTAGATGTTTGCTGCGAAGTTGCACGAGTCGACCTTGCTGAAGGTGCCGTACTTCCGCTCTAGCCTGTCAAAACAGCGGAATTGAGTCTGAGGAGCGGATTCGGAAAATCTCGACATGCCATGCACGAGCTGAAGTTTTTGTTGGCGATATTAGGAGCCCTTCATTGAGAGAAGAAGGTTCGGAATGTCTTACGAGGAATCGTATTGTCTTTCTATGTTACTAATTCCGCAGCGGGTTTGACTAACTTGAAGGGGGCGAGGCACACCATCCACACGATGAGCGAGCAAATGAGAGTTGAGCGCTTCCTGCAATTGGTATCTGACCCAATCCTTTCGAGTGAGCGACTACACGTTTCACAAGATTGCTAAAGACAACGTTCACGCTTTCGGTGAAAGGACCAGTGCTCCGGGTGTCAGCTTGCTTGAACACTAAAGCTGGCTTCGCTTATTTTGCCAAACCGGATCCGTTCACGCCCCTCACCGGAAGTTGGTCAGCGGAACGAAGTCCGCGAGCTTCCCGACGGAGCTGCCCTCCTCTTCGAGGTCCGTCGTGTCAATGGCAGCTCGCCACGTGTCCTTGTCGTCGCGCCACACAACACAGTCGACAATTGGCCCTCGGTCGTCATAGTCCTGCAATAGTCCGACGATCGTGCGTTTGCTGATGACTCTCCGTTTCGCTCGTCCTGTCTCTAATGCATCCAATGCATTTTAGGGTACGCAAACGTGCACTTGCATGTCGACCCCTTGGCAAGAACGTCTGAAGTTCGAGCGGCGCGTTCTTTACAAGAGATACCGCCCCACAGACAGTACACTGTCTTGCAATACAAGAGGCATATCTTGGACCGAGTATCTACCACAGGACATACGCTTGGGTGGCCTTAACTCGAGAATGTTGGATAGCGAGCAAGACAAGCCGGGTTTCAGTTCAAAGTTTTTTCAGCTTTGAGATGGTTCGAAATTTGAATTCTAGCTCACCTCGGCTAGCTTCTTGAGGAGGTCCACACGTGCCTGCAGGTCCTCCCGCTCCTTTTTGAGCTTGTCGGTGGCCGGCTTCGGATTCTTCTGCAAAATGCTCAAGAAAGCAGATGCTCGAGAACACGCGTCGCTAATAAATGCGAGGCCGTTGATCCCTTGCGAAATTCTCAGGGGAGGCTTTCGAAGATTCATTAGGCCGCTGTTCGTCGTTTCTTTTCCAACCAGCAGAGCCGTCCAAACAGTCCAAGTATGTTTGGACATGCATGCTAGGAGACGAAAAGACCAAAAGGCGGATTCCGTTTGGAGAAATATGTCGACCTCTGTCTTCGGAGAATAGCAGACATCAGACCGGCAAAGAAGCAAAAGGTTGTCGCTTGTGAACTTTGCCCATCACAAAGCAATGCGGTTTTCGGACGAAGAATGATAGGGGCTTACCGCATCGAACGCTGAAAGCCGTCGGAGCTCCTCGGTGGCGCTCTGCCGGTGCTTCGCGTCCCAGCTCTTGCGGCGCTCTTTCTGCACAAGCAGGGGTGCGTTCGGCATCAGTATCCGACTCAGAGGGTCCTACACTACCGTACCAATCTTGGTTTCTTCGACTTTCTTCGACTTGGGTGACAATTTAGAGTTTTCTGCTTGATCAGCCATTTCGGCGAGATGTCTGATAATCTTCGGGCAATTCGTCAAAGTAGCAATCCTCCGCCAGAAACCAATATCACCAACCTTCATTGTGCAAATATGGAATTCGACTTTTCGTCATCGAAGAAAACATATCCCACATTTCTTGGCAGCCCAGACAAGTTACTAATCAGAAACGGAATCAAACGCTGGTATGGTATCTCATTTCTCTTGCAATTTGATCTACCTCGTTCAAAGCAATCCAAGCTGTTGTGAAAAGCTTCCTGGCTGATCTTCAAACTGTAATCAATACAGAACGCACAGCTGACAAGCTGAGTTTGCGTAGACAAACGTTTTAAAAATGAAGATATCGCAGGGACGGGATGATTGTTTTCATCAAACGATGATTGGCTGGTTGTTACCTTCCTGAGCAGGAAACCGGTTAGACCTGTTTGACTACCAATATCGTTTTTGAGTATTTCAGCAATGACAAAATCTCGAGAAGAGTCTACGCTGCTTACTTTGACACGCTCCGTAAGGCCCTTGGTGAAAAGCTCAAAGAGGTGCTTGACACCAACGTGCCACTCGCCAGAGGGGTTCTTCCACTCTGGATTGACGCGCAGCTGCCTCCCTGCAGAAACAACTTGGAGGAGCGCTCTGTGACATGGAGTAAAGCAAGACTTCTTGAAGAGGGGTTCAAGGGAACTTCAAAGGGAGCCCGAAGGCGGTCAGCTGAACCGCTTGATCGGGAGACTATTCGACTGTGTCAGCAATCCTGTCAGATACACAGGCGAATCAACGACACCGAGACCGCCGTAAGCCGGCCCAAGTGGTCAGCCTTGGAAGCTCCGATAGGAAGACAATGCTTTGATTGATGCAGTCGACTTGCGTGTCCACGCAGGTGAGGACACACCAGTCTGTGACGTCCACGTTACATGCATCTTACCAGTGGAGGGAGGATATAATGGGGCTCACCGGAACCTCCTTCAATCATGCCGTCTGCATCTGCTTTGACCACCTTGCTGGTGTCTACGTCCCCACTTCCAGTGCTGAAAAAGCAGGCATGGGAAGGATTTCTGTGAAGTGCCTTCAAAGACAACGCGATCAGGTGTGCGGGATTGAGCGCTTTTATAGCTCCTTGACCACCACTGCCGCGGGGCTGTTGGGCATGAGGGACAACCCGGATAGATGTTTTCACCGCAAAAGACTGGACCAATGAAGAAAGGTAGACATATGCCTTAAACTTCCTATCAATGAGGTTTGCTTATCTGGTAAGAAAAGAGATGGTCACAGTAGACAGCAAAACCCGCCATCAGGATCATAACCATGGTCTTCGGAGACCGCTTGGTAGTTCTGTCCCACCGGCCGGTTTGAATCACATCTCTCTGCAACTAAACTAGGAGACCAGTGAAGAGACAGTACTCACCAGTCAACAACATCGATAACCTTGGGTTTGCCCTCAGAGGTCACTGTCAGGCCAGCCGCTCCTGGGTCAACTCCAGAATCTGAATGAAGAGCACAATCAGATCCCTAGACTGCCGTAACTACGAATGATTATGCCATTTGCCACATCTCAGCCTAGATTGGTGTATGCAGACTGGACTGGCGGCAGCCACAGCCTCTGGAGTTCCTGTAATCTGTGATAGAGGTCGGACTCAAAATCAACTTACAACCGGTGCAGAAGCTATGATTGTATCTCTTCCTTCCAGGAGTGCATGGGTTTGTGGCGCCAAGAACGGCGCCTCAAGGACCAATCAACATCAGAAGAAAAGGCTTCAAGACCTTCTCCCGGTGGTGGCATTCCAGCCTCACCAAAGATTGCCACGATGACACCCCTCCCATCATGCTCGGGGTGCTTCTTCAGAAAGCGCTGAGCGCCAATCTCGGCAGATGGCATCAGCCCCTGCAGAAAAGCAGACTCGGCCGGCGTTGCGTCTTCCTCCTTCATCTTGTCTGACGGCGCCTCAAAAGGCTCACCCATCGGATCGCTGAAGGTCGAATAGCCACTTGAAGTTGGCTCTAAGCTCGCAAATAGCCGGGGGCTTTGCTGAAAAGTGCTGCAATCAAGAGGATTGTGGGTGGAACTTTTCAACAGATTGAAACGTCCTCTTGAGAAGGGGGACAGCGTCCTCCGAATGCTGACTGAATGACAAAAGCGATCGCTACAAGATTTGATAGAGCAGTGTCTGCTGCTGAAGACGCTCAGTTGCGCTCTTGGGGCCAGGACGACGCCGCAGTCTACAGCCATCTGTCGAGCTGCACCTGCCAAAAGCCTCGAGATTGCCTGCATTGCACTCTCTGCATGCTGGCGGCCTGCTCCAGCCTGCTAGCTCAGCTTCTGCTACCACTATACGAGTGCGCGCACATGCTCGCAGATCCGACTCATGCCAGTGGTTGCAGTGCGCAGCGGCTGTGCGGCCGCGCTTAGAACCCTGCGGCCGCGCGACCACTGAGCGCAGAGTCGCAAACTTGAACTTAATTTAGAAGAAGCCGCTGCCACGCAGGGACACACTTGCATAAAATCTTGCATCTTACGTTTGTATCAAAACGCCTTTCTGAACGCTCTGAGACTTTGAAACGCCCCTTGAGCGCTCAAAAGTTCGACCGATCTGATCTGAGATTACGTAAGGCTTACAACTTGACGCTAGTGCTGAGGCGTAGCTGGGAAGATTAAGCCCAGGGATCATGAGGAGTTGCAGTGAACACGTGTCATCTTCGTTACGAGCATGTAAGCCAGATCCTTTGCATCACGGCCAATCGGACTCGCGCTATGACTTACTTATCGTCAACATGTCTAGCAGGGGTCTAGCACAGTAACAATACATGAGTGACGTCATGCTCCATGAGAACCGTTTGTCCGAATCAGATTGTCAAGAGTTTCCTTCACTGCAACAGAAAGGAGAGTTTCACGTCCCGGAAACACACGCGCAATACGTACGGTGTTGAGCTTTCTGCCGTCTGCTACTGTAGCTTCCATCAAGCCAGGCAGACATCTCGAGGAAACTTCTTCTGCGCCGCGTCGGGGAGTCGTGCTTTGGAGCGCAGCACTAAAGAGACGCGTTTTAGGGAGGCATCTTAGAGACGCGCGTATGGACTCCGAGCCTTTTTAGCATGCCTGGCCAGCTGCATGCTCAACACTTACAGCTAATCCTTTAGAGCTATCCCTTCTCTAAAGTCAGCGTAGGGCGGACAACGGCTCCTTCGGAGGCAGACAAGCGGAACATAAGGGATCTGCTTTTGATGGATCTCACAGATCCGAAGGTTCGGCGTCCAGATTTTCCTGCGGCGATACAAAGTTATTCCCGCGCAACCATCTAACATCCCGAATAGGTCAGGCGCAGGCAGAGCGCAGGGTTGTTCAAGTATCAGGTGGTTTGCGTTGAGTGTTTTCTAGAGACTGCATGGTTGCCTGTAGAGGAGGTTCTCGTGTTGCAAGGTAACTTTCAGCCTCTCCGGAAGGTGTTGGGGGATCAGCCGCTAGAGTATTTACCCAGGTCAAGCTCTGTGGTTTAGCGCTCATAAGATTCGGTACAAATTGTTCTGTGTTTAGCGCCATGAAGATCCAGTCAATGAGCGCCATGGGAGGCCTGTGCTTCGAGTCCCTGAATGACGACCTGGCCTGCCTAGTCCTCGAGAAGCTCTTCCCGCCCAACAGCGTGCTCTTCGCCTTCGAAGGAGTGCCGGATCTCGCCAACTTCGCCCGCGTTTCGCGGCGCTACGCGAGCGTTGTCAGAGATAGCGCCTGGGCGGCAGCATGCAGGAGAGTCGCTCCGGAGGTTTGCGCAGATCTGGTGCCTGTCGGGGGGGCAGAAAACAGCCCGGGGGAAGCCGGTTGGATGAGCTTTGCGAGACTGCTGACGTGGTGCCCCGGGCGACTGGAGACCCCCGAGAAGAGCAGATCTGGGCCGTTCGATTGCCAGGCAATAAGGTCGCCAGGGAAGATGCATAAGTGCGAGCCCGCCAAGCAGCACCTGTGCCGTACACGCTTTCCGTTGTGGAGGAGGTGTCCGCCGGAAGCATCCTGGCAGCGGAAGCGGAAAGCTCTGCCGGAGCGTCCTTCATGCTGTGCTGTGTGCATGAGGTAACTCACAGAGACGGGTATGGCACCGTGGCTGAACTTCGTTGCCAGATTGCAAGGAAAGTGTATCGCGGGGTTGTTGGGTGTGTCAAGGAATTCACTGCGCTCATCGGAAACGATCCAGAAGATGCTAGCGAGAAGTTGGGAATCTGCCCGTTCTGCCCCTCCCCAGTGCGGCGCGTTCCGAGGACGGCTCTCAAGGTGACGGAAACGACTCTGGCGGACTTCAGATACTGTAGCTCTGGACACGTGGTTGGCATTGTTGAGTACCGCGTTGGAGCATATCGCCAATTCTGGGAGATTAGCATCTCGGAGGGTGACGACGAAAGATGGTTCCGGGGCAATGGATCTGTGGGCGCATACGTCACTTCGGACTTGAGCAACACTGACTGAGTGGATGACCACTTGCTCTCAGGGTGATGGGATTGCTGTTGCGCTTGAGTATTTGATAGGTCCACATTAGAAGGGTGACATGTTGCTGATAAGGATTCAGAGATAGCAAGCGGGGAAAGCAACATCTGTGTTTAGATTACTTTATGATAGGCTTCGTTGCCAGAGAGGGGCCCAGAAACGCCGTTGCTCAAGAGAGTTTTCGCCGCGAACGTTGTTTTCTAAACAGTCTCAGAATTTGATTGTCAAGCTCCACAGATGAGCAGGTGGAGGCCGGCAAGGGGTCATGCTGCGTGTTACCAGCCGGCTCAATGAATGTCCAGCTACTCACGGAATACAATACTGGCGTTGATGCCAGGAACAAATACGTTGGACCATGACTCAAAGTTTCTGGAATCACTCAGATTGTACAGACGAGACTGAGATCTGCGGTACGTCCGACGACAAGCTAGAACTGCATGCATCATGTCGAATCGATGTGATATACGTGAATATACTACTTGGTTGCGTTCGCTTTATTGCAGAGCAAACACTCGCGGTGCATGAGCTAGTTGACGGTAGCATGGCCCGCGCGGGCCCCTCATCCCGAGATGTCAGTGATGGTGGCACGCCACTTTAACACCTGCGCAACTTAATGGTGATATGATCATGCTTCAATCAGCCGCCGTGCCACGCAGGCCACCGCCAGCCGATGAGGTGCTGCATGCGCCCGCCTGCATCATAGCGAAACCGGATTCAGTAAGCTACGGCCTGCAATTTGTCGAGGCAAACCGTCATGCACCGGCGGCCGTCAGCTCCAATCTGGCAACAGCTGGAAAGCCTGCATCATGCTAAGTTGCACGATCGGATCCGATAATTCGAACGATCAGTGCTTCGATATGCATATAACAAAGATGGCCTGGCCCACCGCACCGGCCCACAGTGACAATTGGGATCGGACGATCGCGGGGAGTACGCGATGCCATATTGCATGGTCATCATTGCGACGGTAATTGTCAACCGCGGCCAATTTGCAAAAGATCAATTGCCAGCTCTAGATGCATGAGAGCTGCATGAGCGGATCGAGCGCTGGCTGGCCCGTTTATACAACCCAAACTTCTTTCACATATACAAAGATCAGTGTGCGCACATTCGCAGCGTTGCACTTTGCATCATGAGTGCGCCTGGCGCAAAGAGATTTGAAGCTTTACATGTTGCATTGCCTCACAGCAGTCCTCTCGGTTCGGAAAAGCTGCCTCCCCCGGCCGGCTTCTTTGCCCCCCCCGCATTACCACAGAATGTACAAAACAGGCTAGCTGCTAAGCTGACGACCTGAAATAAGAGGCCGCAAGCCCACAAAAGAATCACCTGTCCTACATTACCTACGCCTGCTTGAGCCTATGCTCAACAACCCGCTTAGCGCTCACTTGACACAGATACGCGAAGCCAGTGACGGCTAGCCCGCTTATGAAGACCCACTTCTCATAACGTGGGCTCTCGGCCATGTACGTCCTCAGGTGAAGCTGGTTCCAGAAGCTTTCCGTGTACACTGGGTCCGGGTCTGCTTTGGAGCCGGGCGGTGACGGAAGCAGCTGCCAGCCGTTGTCCCACTTGAGCCGCGTCGAGTAGGCCGGGACGTACCTGTAGCATTCGAATAAGAACTCTTGAATGTTGTAGATTCATCGATTCAACGTTTTTGGCACTCTTTCAAACAAGCAAACAAAAAACGCCTTTCAAATCATCAAACGCAAAACGAAGGCGTGAATTCTTGAGAATCCTACTTTACAGGAACAATCTTTTCGAATGAACTACCATTCGTGAGTGGAGCGCCGTTCTCCAAATATCGACGAAGCGCCTTTCAAAAAAATCGACGGCCATACTTGCCGGCTCGAGACAGCTGTTCTAGAGGCACAAAATCATGGTGCACGGCAACGAGTCTGGACATGGAAAATGTTGGGCAACTGCAAAAAGCAACTCAGAGATACTCATTCCTGACGCTATTACGAGAGCGGACTTCCAACAATCACAGTACTCACTCAGCAAACAAACACAAGCTCGAACCCCAATTTTCCTCGCACAGGGATAGGAAAACTCCGTCGAAGGTCTACGCGACTCTGTTTTAAATGAACACGGCGTAAGCAAGGCTCATGAAACGGGAAACACAGCAAAGAGTATTTCCAGCCTCGCACAGGGATAGAAAAAATGCCGTCGAAGTCCACGCAAGTCTGTGTATGATGAACACGGCGTCAGCAAGGCTCATCAAAAGCGAGAAACGAAGCAACGACTCTTTCCATACCTGGCCGTGGCGTTCAGGCACGTGCCCTTCTTTGCCGCCGTCAAGCCCACACACGCCTGCCCCGCTGGGCACGCCCCATCACACGTGCTGCCATTTACTGTCTTCCCCGTCACGTTCGCCAGCAGATTCCATAGAAACCGCGACGTGTCGTCGAGCGGGAACGGGTTTGGTCCCGGGCCTTCTTGCAGGATCCCCACGTAGTGGTTAGCGAAACCGGACGCGGTTAGCGGCGTGGTTAGGTTTTGCACCAGGCTGCAGCCCAGCCCCGGGGAGGGGGTCAACAGGCACTTAACGAGGTCCTTAACCAAACCGGGGTTGGTGCTTGGCAAATGCGATGTGAGTGTTCCCCCGGCTAGCTGAAGCAGCCCGCGCGCGATCAGTGTTGCCGCTTCAGCAATGACGTCAGCGTCGATGTTGCTGACGTCATCGTAGAAGCTCTGGAAGTAGGGGTTGGAGAAGGCGGCGTCGAAGTCGGTCAGGACCAGACCCGGGGTCTGGGGATTCTGACACAGGAATGACGTCAGCGAGGAGTCGGGGGGCACGCCGGGGGTGTCGGGGCTTGCGGGCTGGACCGAGGGCGCGCCGGGCATGCTGCTCGCGGCGGAAGTGAGGGCTGTGAGGATGGGGGCGGAGACGGAGGCCGCCTGCTGCTTTCCCCTGGAGACGAAGCAGTCACAATTGCTCGACTCAGGAGGGCAATGATTTATCAACATTTACTTTTCGTGCCTTCAATAGAAGCGATCCGTTATGCGTCACTTTCTCTTCCGAACAGAGAAGCAGCCTCCCAGTTCCTGTCTTTGCAAGAAAAGGAGCTGAGCTGTCAACGAGGAAGCTATGCGATAAAAGTCACCACTCGTTGCTAGGCAAGGTAGACAGCTGTTAGAAACCGGCAGAGTGAAGGCAGCTTTGCGCCGTCAAGGCATCAGAATTCCTGCTCTACCGACGGCCATTGCCGTGAAAGTCAGTTCGGCACTGTCCAAAACGGGAAGAAGTCTAGAGAAGGCAGTCCCTACCTGTGAGCATAGAACGTCGTCGCTTTGTCAGGAGCTCCGTTCACCGGCCCTCTCTTGGCCCTCCCAACAGAGCCAACCTCCAGCACCGCCGTCACCTAAAAATTGGACAATAACCGTGGTTGAAGTCCTACCGTTTCTTGGTTAGTGGAAATTACCGATGTATTGTCTATATAGGCTTCTGGTTCCAATTCACTTCGTCAAAGCCTTCCAGAATTGCAGGTGTTTTAGCTTTACGGCTTGACGCCTCAAAAGTAGAAACGAGCCGCGTTCGAGCAGTTAATCCGTTAAACAACACCGCCTAAGATGACATCAGTCCTGCAGTCAGGGAGAAAGAGGCTCTCGGCTTTTGACTTCGACGGAAGCGCTCGACGCTTGGCTTTGGTGGTGCATCGATATAGAGCTTGTGATGCTGGCAGAGCGCCAGGGGGCGTCTGATGAGGGACAGGCTAGTCAAACGACCATTCCGGATGATATATGCACAGGTGTTCCGCAACATAAACAGAGCGTCCGATAGAGATATTCTCAAAGTGAGCCTCTAGGATGTTCGTTGTTCTATGAAACTAAGTGCAAAGCTATGGGAGAGTGGTTAGGAGCGCGCTCCAAGGTTGGCACCTTGCCCCGGATAACTGTCTTGATCGGTCAACTGTCAACCTACTGTTTCATCGCCCGTTTACAGAAGTTTCAAATACATTCTCGTTACCTAGACAATAGAGAGTTCTTGGAACGATCTTCTCGAGGCAAGGTCAAGTCGGGGCGAAAGCAAAGTGGCCGCTCCAGACAGATGGGCGGTCCAATCAATGATACGCAGGTAAAAAGGGTGTCGTTTCCTATCTTTACTATACTGCACTACTCGGACGCACTTTGGATCAAGGACAAAATGAAATACAGAAGAAGAGAGGGCGTGGGATCCGACCTGGTCCCAAGAGAACCCGTCCACTGCCGCGCTCCCCTCAGCAACTTCAGCGAGCAGCCTCCGACTGCCAAGGTAACCCCACGACTCCCCGGTCAGGAAGGCAAAAACCAGCTGGTTAGGGAGGGTTCCGTCCTTAACCCCGGGCACCCGCGAGAGCGCTTCCACAGCCGCGAGCAGAGCAATTGCGCCAGAGAGAGGGGAGTTTGCGCCGGGGGCTAAGTCGCGGAAGAAAGATGCGGAGTCGATTGAGGCCAGGGCGAGTACTACGGGTTTGGTAGGAGTAGTGGTGTTTGGAGGGGGGAGGGGGGGCAGAGACGAGAGGACACTGCACGAGAAGGAGAACGCAGGGTTGTAATGTTTTCAAGTAAAAAGCAGTCAAACGCGCGTAGAAAGGACAGTCCGTTGAGATGTGTGTGAGAGACGGGAGTAAAAATGATGGCAGGGTGTCAAGCGCGACTAGGACATTGTTAAATTCACAAGTTTCTGCTGAGTTCTGCCCTGCCGAAAATCTGCAGATCAAGTAAATCAACCGACTTGGACGTTAAATTCCAGAGTCCGCTTTGACCCAGCCATCTTCGAAGCAGAAGTATCAAACACTGTACAAGCACGCGGAGCCTCTCGTTAGACCTCGTGCTTGTAAACGTGAGATCTTACCTGTAGCCTCCCAGGGGCAGGCACGTGGCAGCTGCCAGGCACTCTGCGGTTGTGGGTGTCTCGTGAGCAGTCGTGTACATCACGAGATCAAACTCCGCGACGTAGAGGGGGTGCTTGAAGTTTTGTTTGTGGTTGTGCTCTGAGTGGCTGCGCATCAGCCTGCAAAGGAGGCGAATCAAAGAAGGGTTGGATAAGCAATCTTAGAATTAGTTGTCCAGAAGAAAAACATCTTAACTACTTTAGGCACCCGATGTATCATACGAATCATCATTGGGTTTGCGGAGCCAAGTTCTGGTATTTCCAACTTCAGAAGAAACCAGGGTCCAGGGTCATCAAACAGCCATCATTGAAACGTCAGTGTCAAACATCGCCAAAATCTCTGTTACTGGAAAGCTTGGGCCTGTTAGGGAACTGATCGGAGAAGCAGGGACTCGGCACACATTTCTAAAAGAAGTGTGGCGCTTACCTTGTCCCATTCTCGTTCAGAAGAAACACCGGCAGCTGGAATCGTTTTCTTGCTAAGTCGCTCCCTGGGGGGTTCCACACGTAGCCCCGCGCCGACTCATCGGCCCATTCTGCCTGGGGGTACTTGGCAGCAGGGGAGAATTGACTGAGCACGTGCGATCCGTTAAACAGATTGTCCGCTTCTAGCAAGACCCCTGCTACTTGCTCAGTGAGAAGAGGGTCTGCTTCTAGCCGCTGCATGAAACCTTGGTATGCGCTTGGGGGGAGCAGAACGGCATGGTTCCCCAACACTGCGTCTTGAGAAGACTCGAGCCTCTGAATAGGGGAGATCACCAGACCCCTATCAGGATTGGAGCAGCCAATCTCCCCGTTGACCGTCAGTAACCTGACGCACGGCCAGCCGTCGATGGTGGAATACATAGCAGCCTCTAGTTCTGGAACTGATCGCAATGTGGAAGGCTTGGCGGACGCTGTCTGAGTGGTCAATACCAGAACGAGAAGACTCCAGACTATCGGACACCAAGCGGACCGCTTTGCATCCCTCACAACCGAGCGTCTGACTACTCTAGAGGTTTGCCTCGTCATGATACCTCCTGCGTGCCCCCACTCACGCCCCGCCGCTTCTACGCTTGCTCCCCAAACATCCCTCGCAACTTCCATCGCGCAATCTAGAACTGGCGCCCTTCACCTCAGACCATCTCCCAGCTCTGTTTTCTCTGGTGTGGTGCAGAGCCTCCAAAGACTGATGCAGAGTCCGTTTTGTGATGCTTGGCTAGGAGCGCGTCGGCAGCGACCCAGAGCACAACCCACCCCACAGGATGCCTGCATGTAAGCAAGTGCGAAGATCAGCCGGACTGCGGCTCAGAAGAGTTATGCTTGGTTTGAAGGATCTATCAAGGACTTTGTGCTTATGAGGTTGTCTGCAATGCTGTCAGCAACATAATTCTGACATTATCTTGGAGGCACACTTTACAGCTCCTGCCACAAGGTAAGGAATGTAATGTAAGAATTGACATTGACTTTGCAAAGACAAGAAGACTCTTCCAGATAAAATCAGAGCCCCTCTCACCTGAACGGTTTGCTAGCGGTCATCCAAAACTCCTGGCTCTTTTCCAGGCCGGTCATAGAACTCCTGGGCTTTGGTGGAGCAATCCGCTTCAAGAAGTTTTCAAACTCGGTGAAAGTCTCTGAAGGGTGGCGTTTCACACTTTTTGCTTGCTCTTTTCCAGACATTGTCCTGGAGCTGTGAGAGCCAGCAGCGAGCTACCTGGCTGCCTGGACAACTGGTGAAAGCTGTGCACAAACGTCAGGGGGGCGCCATCGCAACGTGAAGCTGACCTGCAACATTTGTAGAGCTCTGCCAGCGCAAATAGTGAAAGCATGCATGCAGCACAAGGTCTATATTGCTTGCATAATCTATCATATTTGATTGCTCAGATTTTATTAATATAAGGGCTGGTTTAATTATCCTCATGGATTGGGAAGAGTGTGTGGAAAATTCGATATATTGACCTACGAATAACTTGTCATGGGCTAGGAGGGATACCGCCCTTCGGGCGGTCTCCTCCTAGTACGTGTTTTATGGGTTGGAGGCTGTGCCGCGACAGAACCGGGCATGTAAGGAGTGACAGTTTGCAGCTAAGTCTTGCCCGGTACGTGGCCCTGGTGGATGATGGCCCGAGCGGTTGATACGTTGGCCGGTACGTACCGTGTTTGAGATCTAAGCAATATGTAAACCGTGCCGTGAATTTGGAGTCTTTCACAGCATCGACGGCGAAATATTTCCGGAATTTTGTATTTTTCTGAATTGTTTATTCTATATATTGCCTCCCTCCGTTCGCTTATCATGTACTTCAAATGATTGGAGAATAGCATCGCAACGGGATGCTAGAAGTCATTTGTCCCATCGGTCGGTGCAGAAGCGATTGTAAAACATTTCGGCAGCCGTCGATGCAGCATAGAACGCAATCCGGTGGTTTACAAGAGGCCTCACCTTTGTCGTTTAGCGGCACGAGGCCGAAAATTCGTTAATTTGCAGCTTGGCGCGTGAGAAGGGGTCCATGAAACTGACTGTCTCCTAGCCAACAATTCCAGTTTCAGATTGTAGCTTTTATGAAAATTCCTATTGATCGTCACCAAATCATGATACAAATGCTGTCTCCAGCATCTCATACGCGGCTGTCATGGCTCGTGTAGGCAAGCCATGACGAGGAGTTTTCCAAATTTGGATTTTGGGAAGAAGGAGCTCGAGCGCTACATTTCTCCATGTACCAGAACGCTGCAGAAGCGTTCACTCCAGCGCCTCGGGCCTGCAAACATGCGCTTTCTCCATGGAAGAAGTGTCCTCCTTCTGCTTTTACTCATCCTTGCATTGACTGCGGACGATAGCCAGGTCGCAGCTGCCCGGCATAGACAGCAAGGGAAACATGGAGCTACCAAAAACAGGTAAGCCCTTTGTGCCCCACGCCTGACTTTTAGGAGGCCGAGGCGCCCAAGCTGTATAAGATCAGCAGGAGCTCAGACGCCACGCACATATAGGAGCTAGGCGGTTTTAGGGTTCGTGGAACCCTAATTGTTGCAAAGACCGACTGGAGCTGATTCGCTGTCGTCTCCTCCTTTCTTTCAATCACTTCTCTCAGCACCTTCTTATTCAGAGCAGCTCCCGCTGAGTTCTCCCGATTATCAACCTCTCTGTTGATAGTTCTTCTGCCGAAGTTTGAACTTTGAATGTGGCTTTGAGCAGGTCACACAAGAAGAAAGCCCCCAAGGTCATTCAATTGAAGGAGCTGATGTATGATCTGAGGTGAGCTCTTCTGAGTTTCCAGCTCAAGCTGCCAGCCGCAGCCTTGCCTTGAAGAAAGTGGGGGCACAGCAGCTGATATTCTATAGCCCCTCGCAAATCCAGGTGCACACATATGTCCACTTTGTTTTGGCTAACCTCCTTTCAGTACAAGAGAACGGACGTTTGTGCTCCAAGTCAATGCTTGCAATGTTCCAAGAACAATTGATCGGCCTTGACAATTTGCCTCAACCAATCAGGGGAATATACAAGTGCCCATCCCGCACTGATTGCCCCCCAGCACAAATCATAGAGATTGAGCAATGCCAAGGACGCTTATATTCCTTCCATTCAGCTGCCAAGACCACGAGCTCGCGTCGTCATTGGACAGCTCTAGCTGCCGTGGGGTGGGCCAACATCGACAGGTGGGCCCCCAGAATCCCCACCTGAAACCGATTGTTCGTTTCGGGCATTCTTTTCGTGGACCATCTTTAAACCAGCTGGAAGAGACTGAGGATTACCCGCCGGAGCAGATTACCTGTTAAGTGCTCTCTGACAGGGAACATTGTCTCAGACGTTGTATTGATGATTGATGGTTTTAACCTGACACCTCGAACACCTTGAACAGTTCTCAGTGGCCCCGAGGCCTCCAATCAGTTCTGGCTTTTGGCGACTTCAATCCATGAAGCGAGTTGGCGAGAAAGTATTCACACCTTTACCTGTCACACAGAATCTCTTATGCCTGCCACTGGCCCCATAACGCAGATGTACTGCCCCCGCAACAAAGGGGAGGACCTGTCAAACCTGGACACTGCTGCCGCAAAAGGTGAGCCTCCAATATTTGCTCAGAGACCATGGCCAAAAGCTGCCAGAGTCCTCACTTTGTGTTCGCGTTTGGGTTTGAATAAACAATTGTCTGCTTTGCTGCGTGCAGCTTAACAGCTTGTGATGCTTTCGCCAGGAAATGAAGAGTGTCGACTGACATTGCAGATTGAGGCCTGATTTGCAAACGGAATTATCGCTGTCGCAAGACTTCGAGATTTCGCTTTTCCAGACACCCACTTGACTTTAAGAGGTCTTCCCCAATCCTGCAGATACAAGCCAAAAAAATTCCCTTTAGCTCGTGTAATCTCATGTGCCGCTCTCACTCTCGAGAGTCTCGATGGAGCCATCACGCAACAAGGCATGGTCAGGCACTGCTTGCTCAAAAGCAGAGCAGCGTGTAGGGTACCAACTCTTAAGATGAGCTGTGGTGACATGCGTAATGTTTCTTTCCTTTGCAGACTCAGAGTGCAAGGAGGCCTGGGTGACAGTGCTGGCAGACGATGCATTCCTGCCTGGAGTCCTGGTGTTGTTGCACTCTATTAGACAGGTCAGAATGGCCTCTTTTCTCTTACGATCTAGCCACAGATTCAGCGGTCTGCCTTGCAGGTTGTGTTCTGTTTACAAAGGTTAGGTTGCG